ATGGAGCAGTAGTTTGAGAGAAGGGTCCAGGGAGGGGATTTTTAAGGATAGGAATGACGATGGCTGTTTTTAATGGGGTGGGAACAGTACCATAGGACAGGGAGAGGTTTATGATGTCTGTGAATAGAAGGGCAAGGGGGTGGAGCTGGAAGTTAATGAAAGGGGTAGGGATGGGGTCGAGGGAGTAGGTGGTTGGTTTCATGTGGGTTATGGTGATGATGAGAGAGGAGGGGGAGAGAAGTTCAAAGTTGTGGAGGGAGGGATGGCAAGGGGCTGCGGTGTGAGCACCCTGACCATTTCCCCCCTCCTCTCTCCCTCCCTTCCCTCCCCTCACCATTTCCCCCCTGCTCGGGTCATGACCCAACTGTGCAGCGCCTTGGGACGTCCTCCTGACGTGAAAGGCGCTCTATAAATGGAATCTTGTTGTTGTTGTTGTTGTTGTTGAGGGGGAGATGGGGAATATGGGGAGGGGGTGGTAGATGGAAGGGCAGAGGCAGCTGAGCGGATCCCCTCATCTTTGGTTTTGAGTAAGTCCAGCATCTCCTCGCAGTTGGCATTGGAGGAGAGGGTGGGCGGAGGAGCCAGTTTGTGATGGAGAAGTGGAGTTGTCCTTGGCCTCCCAAGATTGTCTTGGAGTAGAACGACAAGTTAGTGGAGGCGAGGGCGGAGTGGTAAGATTTGATAAGGTCCAGCCAGATCTGCTGATGGACCTTTAAGTTGGATTTGAGCCAGGTGCGCTCAGCGGCACACACCTGAGCCTTAAGGGTAGATGAAGCCCCGGTAAATAGCTGCAAAAAGCCTGTTCCAAACTTATCTTGTAAATTAACTACAATTTAATTAAGATTCAGGCTACATTTTGGGTATAATGTGGTGTCTGTCCTGTAGCTTAGTGGTTAGAGCACTCGCCTCACAAGTGAGAGACCTGGGTTCAAATCCCAGCAGGGAGAAATGTTGGGCAAGTTTCCTTACTCCACACGCCTCTGTTTGCTTAACAGGAAGTAGGAACCCGGTTGTTAGTCGATTGGCGAATCGCTTTCTAAAAAAAATTGATCACTTCAATCCACGACTGTTTGTGAGACGCTGCTGTGCGCAATTGGCTGCTGCATTTCACCCACAAAATAGTCAATCCACTTTACTGTGAAACGCTTTGACACGTCTCGAACACGGGATAAGGCGCTGTATCAAATGCAAGGATTATTATTATCTATAATTTGATTAAATGGATAGGAAAGTGCAGTTTCTCTATTGGGTGATTAGACCATAAAAAACACACCAATTACATCATTGGGGTAATAAGCCTAATTCAGGGCAGGGCTCAATACCCATAAAAGAACCAACTCCATGTACTTAGGGTTGCTATTTATTTTACTCGGTGACATCAAAAGGTACGTGCCCTGACTATTGATTAGGAGTAGTCCTCCAGGTCAGGGATTGGTTCTTTGTGTGTTTTACATTAACTTCATTACAAGTGGCTGCTAGCCTGTTTAAGTGTGATTAATGTTTGTTATTTCAATAGCTGTGAAGCGCTTTGAGACATCTCAATGATGTGATGAGGGGCTATATCAAATGGAGGATTATTATTAATATGAGGATAGACCCAGGTCATCACCTAAACTCTTATTGATTATAATTCTGCTTGAAATAACTACTTGCAGCTTGTTCCACATCATAATTACCCTTTTGTGAAACAAACTATTCCAAGGTATCACAAGGCATGTGCATTAACAAAAGAACCACAGAGAAAGTATCTTGTTTCATACTGGATTTTAATCAAGATTTTTTTTTACAATAAATTAACCTGCTGAAGCAGTCTGTAAACAGCACATAATACTGCACAACCAGATAGCCATGAAAAACACTCAACAGAGCACCACACAACTAAAATAATCACTTGTACTAGTGAAATGCTACTAATTGCACAATCAACAGGTCTCTCTTTCTGTGTCAAACCCTTAGTGAAGCACCTGTATTTCATTACCCTCAGACTCGTTCCTCGTGAACCAACTCATGACTTCAGGATTAGCTTCAGAAGTTGAGATACAATTTTGCAATGAATTTTTTTAAAAAAAGGGCTTCAAACCAGGCCCTTAGCCAGAATGGGACCCTTTGGGGTGAGAAATTCCTCTTATTGGCTGTGTGCGAGACCTTGTGTGCTTGTGAAAGGAGGGCCAATCCCATTCTAATCGCACGCACCAAAGCTAATCGGCACTGCTCATAGTGAGTGGCAAGACAGTTCATCTCCTTCAGCACAAAGAGAGGTGAATGGTGAAAGGATACACTGAACATGTGTGTGATAAGTGGTTCTGTAGATCCCTGCACAGGATGTAAATTCATGATATACATGCATGATATACATGATGTACAACAAACTCCTTATAACTTGTCACTCCAAGTGAAAAGAGCTCAGTGATGAGTTATCAGGAGCGGTCAGTTAGGCAGATGGGTAATAAATAACAATTGGGTTACTAAATCCACCGCTGTTTGTGGGGCACTGCTCTGCGAAATTGGCTGCCGCTTTTCACCCACAAAGTATAGTCAATTCACTTTACAGTGTATCCTGTGAAGCGCTTTGAGATGTCTAGAAGACGTAATAAGACGCCATAGAAAATCAAGGATCATATATATATACACACACACACATATACACACACACTAATAAATGCGGCTGAAGTAATGGCAGCATGATGATGTAAGTTGTTGTGAGTGACAAGTTAAGCCGGGGTCATGTTATCAGGAATTTACAACCTGTATCAAATGATCATCTGGACACAGTGATTGACAAAGTCTCATTGACCGACCAGACTGTGCATATGCAAGATTTTTTTTTAATTCAGTCTCTGTTTGCCATTTTCCTCAAATCCTGAAAACAAATCTGGCTTCCAAAATGAACATTAAATTGGAAGAATTTCCCCACGATTCTGCACAATCTTGTTTCACCACAAAATATAGTCATTCCACTTTACAATATATTCTGTGAAGTGCTTTGACACATTTCGAAGACGTGATAAGCTGCTATATTAAATGCAAGGATTATTATTATTATCTCACATTTTAAGACGAAATAGACGTGCAGGTTGAGACTGGGTGAAATTCAGGCATTTACTGTCAAAATCAGTTAAGACTCCCTCAATACAGGCAAAAACCTAATTGGAAATTGTTCCTTTTTTGAAATGAAGAATACATTCCTTCCGGCCTAACCATTGATAGCTTTTACATATAATAAACAGAATCCTGATTTTGATCAATGTGGCAGCGACTGTGGATTACAAAGACAGCAATGTGCAGTCTGCAGCATTAGGTTGAGCTTTCCCTTTGCTGGTTATAATAATAATAATCCTTGCATTTGATATATATAGCGCCTTATCACGTCTTCGAGAAGTCTCAAAGCGCTTCACAGCTGTAATACTATAAAGTGGACTGACTTTGTGGGCGAAAGGTGGCAGCCAGTTACACACATCAGTGTCCCACAACAGTTGTGGATTGAGTGACCAAATTATTATTGTTTTATTTATTGTGGGGTGGGGAAAGGGGGTTCTTTCTAAACTTTGGTTGTACTGGTAAAAAAAGCATCTTATAAGCTCGCATGCCATATTGACAGCATGTTGACCTAAGTGCTAGTGACAAATTAAGCTACCATCTCCTGTGCTGATTAGTTTCAGACACAGGTCACAGCAATTCAGTGCTTGTACAGCCCAGGAAATCATCACTGCTGGTCGGGTAAGCAATGACATGATGATTCATAAACAATCGCAATCACACAGATCAAGGTAATATAATACTAATCTTTGCATTTGATATAGCGCCTTATAATCTCTTTTGAGGTGTCTCAAAGTGCTTCACAGGATATACTGTAAAGTGAATTGACTGTATATTCTGTGGGCGAAACACCGCAGCTAATTGCACGCAGCAGCATCCCACAAACAGTCGTGGATTAAGTGACCAAATTATTATTATTTTCTTCTACTTGAGGCAAACTGGAGTCACTTCAAATCAACGGCCAGATCGTGTCAGTGCCGGAGGCCACACTAGGGTGTATCGAGGGAGGCCGTAGATTGAAATCAGCAACAACTTAATGGCAAATGATCTCCATTACCCCTGGAAAAGCGATCTGTCAATCAACTAACAATCGGGCTCCTATTTTCTGCTAGGTAAATACAGAGGGGTGTGGAGACTTGCCCAACGTTTTGCCCTGTTCTGCCCGGGAAATCAAACCCAGGGTCCCCTCACTTGTGAGGCGAGTGCTCTAATCACTGAGCAACAGGAAATGGTTCTCCCAATCAATCAATGTGTGATTTATGGCTGGAGCTGCTCTCCCGGCTGCTCAAGCTAATCCCAAACTGTTGCGGGGATGGTTTTAGACCTGGCCCACCATTGAGTGATGCTGTAAAACCAATGGTTACTCTACACAAAGCTAACCACAGCTGACAGGGTAAGGCCTAGGAAATACAGTGTCTCATAGGAAAATGGTTTGAAGTATAATCAGTAAATCATTAAAATTAATTAGGAACGATATTGATTTATTTATCAATCAGCATGCAAGAACGGTACACCACTTGAAGGTCCATTTAAACTCATTTCTAAAAATCCAACATTAATTCCAATATTGCCCTTAAGGTTCTATAGTAACGTGATTCTGTGTAGGTAAATTGGATGATATTGAGTGGCTTTTGATGTTTAATATATCCCAGTGAGAGTTTACTCCATCTTTTGTTGATTCTCCTCAGCGGGATCAGGCAGGAGACAATGGTTAGAGAGTAACTTATTATCAAGTATAAATTACAATAGGAGGAGCTCCCAGTGCAATTTTAATAATAATCCTTGCATTTGATGCAGCGCCTTATCAGGTCTTTGAACCGTCTCAAAGCGCTTCATAGAATATACTGTAAAGTGAATTTACTGTATATTTTGTGGGCGAAACGCGGCAGCCAATTGCGCACAACAGTGTCCCACAAACAGTCAGGGATTGAGTGATCACATTATTATTATTAATCATTATTCTTTTTTGGAAGGGATTATTACCGCCGGAAAAGTGATCCTCTTTTTATGATTGAAACTTGCTGATAAGCCTCTCAGCTAAGTTCACTCATTAAAAGGGCAGCGATGATCAAAAGTGGTGGTTTTAGTTTGGGTTTCCACTGGCGGCCAGTGTGGGAGGTCAGAGAGCGCACGCTAACACTGTGAGACTCTGGAGTTGGGAGAATCCACCCAAACGACACTCTCTTCAGGCAACTTTAGTACTTTGCCTCACTCTTCAGTTTGAATGTTTTAGACTTAATGTTACCTGTCTGTTCTGTTACGTGATAACAGCGAGACATTAACAGCTTAGACAGTGAGCACAGTTTTCCCTGTGGGTCCCAATCAGTATCAAGCGTAACAATAAACTAGAAAACATCAGAATCAAAGGCTCAGGCATCCAATTCGCTTGATTCAAACAAACCATTTCCTAAGCAATAAATTGAAGCTTTCGCAACAATGGCTCGATGGCAGTGATTTAAAGCCAATCAAATGTTGGAATGTATTAAAAAGGTCAGTACTGAGCCAAAATAGTGGGGAATAATCCTACCTCTTTATAAATGAAGACAGAGCAGGGAATGGCATTATTAGTGAGCTAGAGTTACGCTGTTGAAATAGAAAAAAAACAAATACAAATCAAATCAGATTGCTTCTCTTCGGTGGATTTCAGTGTTAGGACTGTGCTGATCACATTGCTATCACATATATTACAACATAAAGCATGATGGAGAGGATGAAACGTTACAGAAAGGGTGATGTTTCCTTTTCACTATAATAAATACTTTTTTTTGCCCATCTTCCAGTGGCCTCTTCTGTGGTTGAGGAGTTGCCGTGTGTCGGTCAGGTTGTGAGGCTGAAGGAGAGAGAGAGACCCTGGTGAGGCTGAGAGCCCCCCATCACTGAGTCAGCGCCTGTGTGATATCCTTCACCAGCATTGTACCGATCACCATCTTCTCACAGTTCACCGTCAGCTGAGCAGCGCTGTTCTCCTTGGACACCACAGTGACAAGCACCAGGCTCTTACCACTCACAGTCCTCGCCGCAAATCTAGGAGAAAAGGACAGAGAAGGACAATCACTGTGAGATTCTGTGCTTCACTGCGATTGAAGGGGGGAAATTCAGAACAAATCACTACTTCAGGGAGTCAAAGAAAACTTATCGAACAGGCTCCCCCAGGGAGACAGACGGTGGAGGCAGAAAACATTGTTTGTTTCAAGAACAATTTAGATAATTTCTACTAGAAAATAATATCTGGGGATACAGTTTGGGACACGACATGTCAGTGACTGCCAGGATGCTGGAAGCTAAACTAAATGTACCTTGGTCTTTTTTCGCCAGCAAATTCTTATGTTCTTAAATAACGGACCAAATGCAAAGTGCTTCACGTGGGGACAAGAAATCTATTGGGGTACTGTGACTTAAATGGAAAGAAAATCATCTGTGTGGAAAATGAGAAGGACCTGAGGGTCAGGATTGACAATAAACTGAAGCTTTCCCAACAGCGCTTGGGGGGCAGTGAGGAAAGCAAACCAGATATTAGGATATATTAAAAGGGCGAATATCGAGCCTAAATAGTGGGGTAATCCTGCCACTTTACAAATTATTGTTGCGACCGCCCTTAGAATACTGTGCAGTTCTGGTCACCACAATACAAAAAGGATATTGCAGCGATTAAGAAGATCCAGAGGAGGGCAACCAGAATGATTGGGGAGATGGAGGGACTGGGGTATGAGGAGCGATTAGACAAACCGGGCATGTTCTTACTGGAGAAGAGAAAGTTGAGAGGTATCGTGATTGCTGTTTTCAAGATTCTAAAGGGACCAGATAATCTAGACCATGACGAGCTGTTTCATCTTGTCCAGAACAGAGGACTGCGATTGAAGGGCGGGGGAAATTATAAACTAATCAACTTCAGTGAGCAAGTGGTAAACGTATGGAACAAGTGGTTAACTTATGGAACAGGGAGGCGGTTGGAATCAGAAAGTGTTGATTCATTCAAACGCAAATTAGATAAGATTTCCTTCAGAAAATAATATTTTGTATATGAGTAATTTGAGTCGTGATGACAACAACAAAATTACATTTGTACGGCACCTTTCACGTCGGGAGGACATCCCAAATGACGTATGGCAAGGGGGAGAATAAATTCAAAACTAATCTGCAGAAATGTTATTTTGAGAGTGTTTGGGAGAAACAGGCAACTTTGGATCCTAGGTTCCCAAAGCTCTCCCCCACTGGCGGGTTTCCCTGGCCTCATGCCTGAGGCTGTTGCAGACTAATCAATAGAGATCAACAGACATTGATGTTGCCATGATTAGTCAGTATTATTGTAGCAAGCCACTGGATGGCGAGATGGACATTGGTCTCCTTTCATCAGAAACCAATATAAATAAATCACTTTGTAAATATGGGAGTCTTGGCCATAAAAGCAGCAACTTTTTTTTATATGTGTATATATAGTGGCATTGACACAAAAGCTAGGGAGCGACGTTCGATTTCTATAGGACCTTAGTTAGGCTGCATTTGAAGCACTTTGTGCAGTTCTGGAAATTGTATTACACAAAGGAATCCCAAAGCGTAGTGGTTAGAGCACTCACCTCGCAAGCGAGAGGACCCAGGTTCGATTCCCATGTGGGGCGAAACCTTAGGCAAGTTTCCTTACTCCACATGCCTGGTACCCAGCAGTAACCGGTTGTTAGTTGACTGGTGGATCACTTTCCAAGGGATTAATGGTTTGTGCCAGTGCGGTTAGGAAGTGGTCTGGTTTTCTGGACGATTCCCTGACACCCGGCTACCCTGCTGCTATAGCGAGGTCACTGTGTGAGCAACAGCTTCTACAATGTAAACAAATCCACCCTCAGGTGTTCACGTTGTGTGAATGGCCAACTTCGGATACAAAGGGCAACTGTTATTACACAAAGGAGATTCTGATCTGGAGGGTCGGTTCCCATAATAATAATCCTTGTATTTGATATAGCGCTTTTCACGTCTTCTCAACATCTCAAAGCGCTTCACAGAATAGACTGTAAAGTGAATTGACTATATATTTATGGGTGAAACGCGGCAGCCAATTGAGCACAGCAGCGTCCCACAAACAGTCGTGGATTGAAGTGACCAAGTGTTATTGCTTTTTTTTCTTGAGGGATTATTATTAGGTGTGTGGAGTAAGGAAACTTGCCCAAGGTTTCGCCCTGAACTGCTGGGAATCGAACCCAGGTTTCTCGCTTGCCAGGCGAGTGAGTGCTCTAACCATTGAGTTACAGGACTCCACAATGAGAGTCCACAAGGACTCCACAAGGACTTTCATAGATGAGAGCCACATTGCATTATTGTAAAATGTGCCCAACAGGAGAAATAAATCACTGTGAATATGAGAAATCACATTACTTTTTAAACATTATCTTACAAAATACAGTCAATTCACTTTACAGTATATTCTGTGACGCGCTATATCAAATGCCAGGATTATTATTATTATTCAAATTTATTTATTTATCTCTTTAACTTCTAGCATTAAATTAAATCAATATTGTGTGGGATTATTGTGGAGCACTGTATAGCATTATGTTTGTGGGATGCTGCTGTGCGCAATTGGCTGCTCTGTATCAAATGCAAGGATTATTATTATTTTATGTATATTTAACATTAACTGGAATTGCACAAAAGCATCAGATCTCTCATTATATAATCGTCAAAAGTCTTCAATTTATGACCAGAAAATAATAAATTGCAGTAAGTGCTTCCTATTTTTTATATTCACGATATTATTTTAATTAAGTTTCTTTCGATTTGTGTCTACCCGTGTCTCGATAGGCCACACACAATAACTGATGCTGATCTCATATCGAGATTAATTGGGTATTGTTTAGTTTAACACAACACGCTCAATACATCTTTTATTATCATTGTATCCTTTTAATTTCATTAATGTTCGAGTAGCACTGAACGCAGACCTTTTAATAATATGCATCATGTGATATGAACTGTCTTTTGAGTGTGGCTGGTGACAACTGGTACAATTTTGGACACCCTCTGGATGGAGATTTCATCATCAAATTGATAAGGTCTCAACGTCACTTAATCAGAATTCCTAAACCGTGGATAATAATAGTTAATCCTTGCATTTGATATAATGTCTTCCAGGTCAGGAGGACTTCTGAAAGTGCTTCACGGAGAATACCGTGAAGTGTAGTGACTGCATTTTGTGGGTGAACACAATTTGTACACAGCATTGTCCCACAAACAGCCGTGAAGTGAATGATTCATTTTATTTGGGGGATTGTTAGCCAGAACCAGGGAGAAACTCCCTTCTCTTTTCGAATAGTGACAAGGGATCTTTAACGTCCACCTGAACAGGCAGACGGGACCTCGGTTTAAGCTCCCATCTGAAAGATGGCGACTCAAATGACAATACAACAGCAACAACAACAACTTGAATTTATATGGTGGCTTTCACGCTGGGTAGTGTCTCGGTGTGCTCCACCAGCACTGTACTAATCGCTCCGAGACGTTGTCCTGTGTGCAGGTCACTGTATAAACATGAGCTGTTGTTACACAGGAGTGTTAGCTCTGGAAAACAAAACGCAAAATACTGCAGACGCTGGAAATCTGAAACAAAAACAGAAGTCTCCGGGAACACTCAGCGGGTCAGGCAGCAGCTATGGAGAGTATTTCCAGCGATTTCTGTTTTTCTGTCAGCTCAGGATCCTGACTTGAGGCTCGAATTCACAATTTCCTGATTGAGAGACGAGAATGTTACTGACCGAGTCAAGCTACCCCGTCCAATTACCAGACAATCGATACAGAAAGAGCTGGTGCGGAAATTCTGGAAACATAACGTCCTCTACAACTTGACGCAACACGAAACATAAAGGTAATGTCATTTGCTCGGTACAAAGTATTGAGTGCAGATCATCCCTTTTCAAAGTTATTGATGCGTATCAAATACGTCTCGATTTCGAATGTCAGTTGACTGTGAGGTTACTTCACGTGACTTGTTTACCTGTATTCGTTGTTGAAGCCACAGGGCACCCGTCCGAGGTTAGCCACGGCAATCACTCTCTGCACAATGGCCAGGTCACTCTGACACTTCGCAGCCAGGGTCAGTTTCTCACTAATCTCGTTCATTCCCATCAATTTCCCTTGGAAGAGTTTCAGAGAGAAGAGAGGACAGTAAGAGCACGGCTAAACCCACACTGCTGCATCCTTCCCTGGCCTAAACCCAGCGCAGCGAGGGTGAGGTGGTGGAGGGGGGACGGGGTGTGGCTTTCAGGAGGATGGAATCGAGCTTGGGGTTTTCCCAAACAAAGCAGAGAAACTGGAGGGTGAGTTTAGTCGCTCGTTCCCATGTTCTCCTCCATCACATGCTGTTCGACAGACAAGATGGTGGGTGATGCAGATCACCTGACTTCCAATCCCATAGCAGTGCTGTGTACTGGGCTGGTGGGAGATGGATGAGAACCTGGCTGTGATGGGTGTTCAATGTGGTTGAAGGGGAAACACCACTTGAGTGAGCGAGTAGGAAACTTATTGCACAGGCTGCCTCGGGAGACAGACAGACAGACGGTGGAGGCAGAAAATGTTGTTCGTTTCAAGAACAAATTAGATCGATTTCTGCTAGAAAATAATATCTGGGGATATCTGGCGTGTATAGTTTGGGACACGACATGTCAGTGACTATCAGGATGGGGAAGGGAACTAGATGGACCCTGGTTTTCTCTCACCAGCAAATTCTCATGTTGTTATGTCTGTGGTGAGGAGGAGCTTGGCTTCCCCAGGAGGCAGCTCAGCGCAGATCAGGGTTTCACCCTCGTCCCAACTCTTCCCTCAACTCTGCCACTGAACACCTTGTGAGACCCCAGGCACTCACTGGCTCACTGAGGGCATCTTCTGATGAGGAATTATTTCCCCCCCCACCCCACCAAAATAAAAGTGCTTCCGTAAAGGACATGTAAAAGGCACGATCGCCATGCCTGGGCAATGAGGACAATCAAAGAGCCACAGATCATATTCTTCACGATGATGCCATGCGCAAAGCAACACAATGATGTTCTCGCTGATGTGAAAGCGCATCATTGCGTCTGGCTGTTTGCCAACCAGACAGCAAAGGTTTGCCAAACGAGCTTGCAATAGTGACTCTGTCCCTTTCAGACTACAAACACGGACCCGGCAATGCTCCCTCACTATAAAGCACGGATGCGACAGACAGATACAGGACAGCAGTGGGGGAGGGTGCGATGTACAACAGGAGCGACATCCACGTGGTCAGACATTCAGTCTTTTGTGCAGCTACTTACCGGCACTGGTATCTAACAGTTGTTCTATGACAGCAAATGGGGAAACAAAGTGAAATGATGTAAAAACCCAACAACTGTGGTCGGATATAAAGCAGCCTCTGAAAACTCCATTCAGCCATCACCAGCGGCACCCACAACCGCAGCTCAACTGGCAAACCCTCCAAACCAACATGATGCCCATAACTTGCCAACTACTGTCAGCTCTAACACAGAGCTCGGGAAATATAATAATTTACCACTTGGGTCAAAAGCACGTCAGGAAGTACTCAGACCTGCCATGAAATGCAATTTCCGCTTCAATGATCTATCAATTTGCATTGTACTCAGAGCAGCATGTTTCATATTTTCCATATTGGTTTCTAACCATGATTCACACTTTGGTGCTAATTGGGATTCAATCCTAGTTTGGTACTCAAAAATGTTGTTGCATTAGGAAGTGGATTGAGACTGCCCAGATTTTACTTAGTACACCGTACTAGCTTCTGTCGGTTAAGGTTCAAAGCCAAGCCTTGGAAATCAAACGACAATATTCTGACGCAAATCAGAGACACGAGGAGCTGTTACCTCCACAGTAAAACTCACATAAGCTGGTCCAGTCTGGATTGTAAGATTTAATTTGACTTTATGTGAAATACGAGACTGCAGATATCCAATTTAATCAGCCATGTACCCTGCGCAGGCTTAATGCACACGTGCACACATGGAGACAGGTAAAGACTACGTTTGCGGTGATTCATGGTGTCCTCACCCGTCACTGCAAGTGCATTTATTGGCAAACGTTAGAATCCCAGGAAATGAAGTTCTTCTACACACCCGACGATGGGTCAAGACTATGTTTCCCGGGAGTCAATGCAGCCGGTCAGTAACAGAGGGTAGGGGAGTGGTATTACAAGTTAGGATGTGGTAAATACAAGTCTGGCAAATAAATCTAAGTGGTTTTAATAGGAAACCGCATAGGACTCGAGTGTACAACTTCATGATTATACAGATAAGACTTGTGCGGGTTTTACTGTATTTCTCCCAAATCACTGCATTACTCAGGCTCCTGCTCTGTACCTTATTAGTTACATACAAGGGCAGGTTCAACACGTACAGAATAAACATACCATCAGCCTGAGCAAGAGCTCAGTGTGACTCACTTCCGCTACGTCTGCTATTAATCCACGACCACGATAAATCAACTTACTAAATGTCCCAAACCACTCAGAGTTAGTGGCAATAATCACAATAATCACCTGGGTTATTTATTTGGCTATAATCACCAATCAATATACTGTAAACCACTGACAGCTGAGAAGCTTTGGGCTGTCAGGTCAGCGTTGCTCAGCTTCCACCTGCTCAGAGAGTTTTCAGAGGCGACTTTGGAGGCTGAAATTTGTGCATTTACCTCGAAACGAGTGCACAGTTGATCAGTAATCAACAGGGGAAGGAGGGAATGTTCAGAGTGAGTCTCCTCTGTTTTTGGAGAACCACACAGCTATAAAGAATTATGACTGGCATCCTTTACTCCCCCTTATTTCTGTTGATTTGTGTATTGATTGTGCTTACGGTCATCTCCCTCCCTCTCCCCCTGGCTCGGTGTCTGACTCCACCACTGTCAAGCTCTCTGGGACGCTACCCCGCGAGAAGGGAGCTGTACAAATGCACGTTGTTGCCCTCAAGGAACTTTATCCAACTCCAAATCAACAGAAAAAAAGGATGGTAAAGTTCATCATAATTTGTAAAAGATAACTTTCAATGGTCAGAGAAGGAATCATTACTACAGGGAACAAGGGTGAAGTACATCGAGTCTAACATAACACCTTGTGAATACTGTGCAAAGCCACGTAGAATATCTCTTTCCTGAGAGGAGATATTCTCCATTTGCCCAGGGTAAACCCAATTCCATTGGGTTTCCTGTCCAGCAGAGGCCTGTGCCATGTGGATGATCCTTTAGAAGGGCCATCTGTGTCCAGTTTGTGAGAGACAATCACCATCGGATCACCAGGCCCAGTGCTCAATACGTAACCTACAAACCAGGACCTATTGGCGCTGGGACAATACATTGCAGCTGTAGTCTCAGTCAAACACGCATAATATTGCCATTGACACCACCAGGAATCTTGGTCAACCTCCCTCTTTGACCGAGCCTTCAGTCATCTTCCCCCCACCTACCCCTGAATCCAACCCCCACCTCGACTGCAGTGAGGTGAAGGGGCTCCTTGATGGAGTTCCGGAAAGTGGAAAGCCAGACCGTCGATGGTGGGCCGGACAGTCTGGGGGATATGACCTTCCTGAATCCCACTGTCAATTTACAGCCAGATTGCCAGCACTATCTCACTATGACTCAGCTCCCACTAGAGCTTTGTGGAGATGATTTAAACACACTTTCCCATGTCAAGGGTTTGAACCTGAGCTGGTGGTTGGTTTGGGGGGTGGGGGGAGAGAGAGGATGACCAAAGGCACGGTCAAAGAGGAAGGTCTTGAGATGGGAGGTGGGAGGTGAGGGAATGGACGAGGTGAAGGGAGTTCCAGAAAGCGGGGGCAGAAAGGTTGAAGGTGGGGTGGGCAGAGTTGGGGACGTGAAGCAGACCAGTGCCCACCGAGTGGAGGGAGGGGCGGGTTGGTAGGATTTAAGAAGGTTGGATGCTAGCCTGCATGAGGGGCGCTGTGTAAATGCAAGTTGTTGTTGTTCCATATCCCTCACTGTATTCTCCCTGTACCCGGTGTCCAGTCTTTCATTTAAGTGCACATGGCTGTCGCCCCAACAACTAACTGTCTCTCTCTGTGTGTGAACGCCTTCGGAACTCCATCCCACAATCTCTTCGCCTTCCTCCCCCACTTGCCTCCTTCAAGGCACGTCTCAAGACCCTCCTCTTTGACTGCGCCTTTGGTCACCCTCCTACCCTCACCCTCCCTGATTTCGACCCCCTGGTATAAGTGTAGTTTGTTGTTGTTATGGAGACACTTACCTTGCTCCTTTTTAAACTCATTCTCTGTCAGGAAGACCGGCATCAGCAGCTCTCCCACAGGTGGCTGGATTGACACGTAAAACTGCCTGGTTTGAGAACTGCAAAGCAGCAAACACAACGCCACAGTCAACAGTCCAATTCCAGAAAAACGTAACATCACTCACCAACGAACAAACGGACACAGCTCTATTCATTTGTGACTGAATTCATTAATAACTGATTAATAACTAACAGCCAAATTACTAACTGCAGATACACTGCGTTCTGTTTTATACACATCCTTACTGTTGCTGCAAAGGGCACCACAATCTGTCAGCCACCACTTTCTCAACCTACTTAACTGCTCCAGATCTCGCTGGATGCTATTTATTCACCTATTATTCCTTTGGCCGCACTGCTTCGTATCACAGCAACGCTCATGACGTTGTGAGCTCGTAAGGGTTAATCAAAACAGGGTGAATATTTAAGTTCATGGCAGAGATCACTGATGCTCAGGGCCAGATAGGCTGTTGAATTTGTTAGAATGAGATATCAATCTGTTTATTCCTCTTAAGGTGAAACAATGTTGGTTCGGTGCTTTCAGTTTATGGCTCTTTTGTCAGCTTTTGTGAGTTAATGGATTTTATGGTCCTGTCGGAGTCTTTTAGTCTGAAGATAGTTGAGTTAACTAGTTTATGTTTTGAGGATTTATTGGAGGAGGTAATTCTTAAGTCAATTGGGAGTTGAGTTTGTCTAAGTACGGAGAACTGATTGGGTAAAAAATTCACAGGGGTACATTTGAGGTATAAAAGAGAGGGAGTGGAGTTACACAACACAGTCGATGAGTTTTGGAGTTTTAATTAATGTTTGATTTTAATATTACTAATTATAAAAACTCTGAATTTCAGCAACTTATAAGAGATTTGAACTTGGGTAAGGTCACTCTATTTGTTTACTCCTGGGGGGGTCCAAGTGTTGAGGCTCAGTGGTTTAGATATTTTATAAAGTATGAGATTATTATTAAAGTTATGTAATAATCTATATTAATATAGTATTATCAAAGTATTATATAAGAATTGTGTGTTATTTTTGCGTGGATTGCTCCGAATGCGGGAATATGTATATTGTATCACATGGGTTTGAATAAACTAGGAATATTTTATTAAAAGCCAAGTATTGGGTGTATTTTGTGAGGCCACTTTGACCAGGAATGTTGCCTTATTGTAATTCAAGAGAAGGATCGCTCCTTTCAGAGTGCACCTGGAAGGAACACGAAATTCTCACCCAGACATAAGATATCATAACAACCTGCTCTCCTCCACGTTGTGTGTATAAATGGTTGGAAGAAGCAAACAATGTGTTCTCCTCACTGCCTCCCACAAAGAGCCTTTCCATCCTTCAGGCCCTCCTATCCTTAAATTCCACCGTAAGACCGACCTCTTAGACCTCCTTATGGACATCTCCCCCTGATCATCGGTGATCGGGCCTTCAGCCTCTCTGCCGCAACCCTTTGGAATTCCATCCTACAGTCCCTTCGCTCCCTCCCTCGCCTCTCTTCAAATGCCCCTTCGGTCACCCTCCAAACCCTGCCCTCCCCCCTCCCTGATACCAACCCCCAGCTCACGTCCAAATCCCTGACTGTCCAGCGCCTTGAGATGTCCTCCCGACGTGAAAGGCAGGCGGGTGTAAATGTGATATGGTATTGTATTGCTGACTGTTCCCTGCCTCATCTGTGCTCTTTAGGTGAGCGTTGATGGCGTCCGCACAATACAAACCGTGATTTTACCAGCGTGTGATGTATATTAGAGAATGGTCGGGGAACGTGGTGTAAACTCTGGCGCTGACTCACCAGAGCTGGAAGTTGGCGGCTTGTGTGGAATCACAGAAATCGATGCCCAGAACATCAGTGACCACCTCACCCGGGGGGAGAGACGCTGCAATCGTGGGAAAGAGAAACACAATAAACAACAACTTACACTGATATAGCTCCCTTCACATGGGGTAGTGTCCTGGAGCGCCTCACATTGGTGGAGCCAGGGGCACAATCAGAAAAAGAATAAAACAACCCTTGGACGGAACAATGCTAAATTAATAATAATCATTGCATTTGATACAGCGCCTTATCACATCTTCGAAATGTCTCAAAGCGCTTCACAGGATACACTGTAATGTGAATTGACTGTGTGTTTTGTGGATGAAACGTGGCAGCCAATTGTGCACAGCAGCGTCCCACAAACAGCCTTGGATTGAGTGACCAAATTATGATTATTACTACGTAATATTGGGAGAAAGGACCATTGCCCCTGCAATCTGAAGTATAAAATACGACACAAACAATATTGTTATGGTTCACAAAACTTCATTTAAAAACTCTAAATGTCTGCTGGACAAGCTACCGAATACGCTGTCTGCAGTTTTGGTAACCCAGTTACAGAGAGCAGGTGACAGACATAGATTCACATGGTCGATTCCGGGGACGAGGGGTTATAGTGAATTCCCGCAGTGCACGTTCGCCTCGCAAGTGAGAGGACCTGGGTTCGATTCCCGGGCAGGGCAAAACCTTAGGCAAGTTTCCTTACTCCACACGCAGTAAGTAAGAACCCGGTTGTTAGTCAACTGGCGGATCGCTTTCCGGGGATAATAATCCCTTCAAATAATAATTTGATCATTCAATCCATGACAGCTTGTGGGATACTGCTGCGTACAATTGGCTGCCACGTTTCACACACAAAATACACAGTTAATCCTCACTTACAGGATATTCTGTGAAGGGTTTTGAGATGTCCAGCTCCCTGGGATGTCTTTCCGACGTGAAGGACGCAATACAAGTAATTTGTTGTTGTCTCAACAACGTGATAAGGCGCAATATCAAATGGAAGAATTATTATTGACTAGTATATTATTATAGTTATGCGGATTGGTTTCCACAGGGGGGGTCACAGTCTTTACAATTCAAGTTTCGGGAGGATTTTATTTTGATCGGCCAGAGACGCACAGAAACTCATTATGTTGCTTATTTAACCAGACAGAGTTCCACAATGTCTGTCACCTAACTATCGGAATCTCCCTGTATCTGTAGTGCAATATTCTCTCTCTCCCTGGAGGGACGCATTCTGCTTACCTAATTCCAGAAAATATTAGGCGTAGGGTGGCAAGAGCCAAGGCTTGGGGACCCCAGAGTGTGCGCTGGGATAAATGCTGGAGTCTAACCAGATAAACCCACACAGCTTTCCATTGCTATCACTGTCTGGCAAGCTTTCCCAGATAGGCTCACCCTACCCATTAAGGTTTTGACTGCAGGGTTAACAGGAGCGGAGGGGAGGATTCCCTGCCCCCAGTGACTGCCCTTCCAGGTCCTGCTGATGAGCCGGGCCGGGCTGTGCTGTCATCAGCAGTGAGTGCCCTGGAATACTGAGAACCCACCTGGCTCAGGAACCGGATTAGAAACCGTCACAGAGGGTGGGCCTGGAACCAATTCAGCCGTGAGGAGACCCCACTAGGAGGATAAGGACCTTTTAAGAGGTTAATTAAAAGATGATAGAAAATTGTACTTGCTGATTGTTAAATTGATAAGAAGGGAGATCAGATCATGATTGTGACTCAAAGAGTTTAGACAGAGATGAGCTTTTTTTTTAACAGAGGGTTATTGGAGTGTGCACACTGAGGATCACATTTCCTCAGGTGGCTGTGAGGCTCAGATCAAACATAATTTAATAGGAAATCTTCCCACATGAAGGCAGGAGGGTCTCATTGGTCAAAGTCTCCCTTCCTGGGATGGCCAAAGAGTGGGATTAAACCTTAACGAGCAGTTTCTATGCCTGTTCTCCTGGCTATACAGGGAATACAGAGATGGATGGAAACAGGAACAAGGACGGGATGGGATAAGTCAACAAAAGGAGAGGCTAGGAGGGTGCGTGACCAATGGGAAAACATTTAAATGAATAAAAACTGTTCCGAGAGTAAGTTTTTCCCCTTTTAGAATCTAAACATTCCTCACTCTGTGACCTGCTGACCCCATATCAACCTGTCCGCTTCCTCTGCTCAGCAGGCTCCGGCCTGCTCCATGTCCCCCGCTCGGCCCAGCCCACCATCGGTGATAGGGCCTTCAGCCTCTCTGCCCCCACCCTTTGGAACTCCATCCCACAGTCCCTTCGCCTCGCTCCCTCCCTCTCCTCCTCTTTGCACACCTTCGGTCACCCTCCTACCCCTACCCTCCCTGCCCTCCACCCCTCCTGATCCCAACCGTCATCTTGAGGCCAAATCCCTGACTGTCCAGCTCCTTGGGACATCCTCCTGACGTGAAAGGCGCCATGGAAATGTTATCTGTTGTTGTCCCATTCCCGGCCTCACCGATTTCTTTGAACTCCTGGATCTGCATCCCTGGCTGCAGCTTGGGCTCCCTGATGTGGATGTTCTTGACTTCGGTGTCCGAATTGTTGGTGAATTGGAGGTGGACAGACACCATGGTGGGCTGGGGGCTGAACAGCTGCCTGCTGAAGGTGTACTCCACCGCCAGACCCTCGCCCGTGATCCTGTGCAGCAACTCGTGGCTCCTGTCAATGCTGAACACAGCACTCACCACCTGGAATAACACAAAGAACATAAGAATTTGCTGGTGAAAGACGACCAAGGTCCATCTAGTTCTCCTTCCACCATCCTGGCAGTCGTTTGACGTGTCATGTTCCAACAATAACAACTTGCCTTTAAACAGCACCCCTCACGCAGGGCAGCGTCCTAGAGCGTTGGCAGTTTCTGAGCACGAACCCGAGCCAGGGGGAGGGGGAGGTGACCCTAGCCACGGTCGAAGAGGAAGGTCTTCAGGCGCGACCTGAAGGTGGGGAAGGAAGCAAGGAGCAAGGCGGAGGGATAGAGGAAGGACGTTCCAGAGTTTCGGGGCGGAATGGCTGAAAGCGCTAACTATATTCTGTAAGTCCCAAACTATACACTGTTTCCCCAGATATTATTTTCTAGCAGAAATCGATCTCATTTGTTCTTGAAAACAACATTTTCTGCTTCCACTATCTGTCTCCCTTGGGAGCCTGGTCCATAAACTTATTGCTTGCTCACTCAAGTAGTGTTTCCGCAGATTTGACCTGAATTTAACCCCCTTCAATCTCAGTGTCCTCTGGTTCTATTATTCAGTACAAGGTTTATCAAGGTCCACATTATCTATTCCCTTTAGAATCTTGAAGACCGTAATCATATCGCCCTCAACCGCAGGGCAACCTCTGAACAGAGCCGTACTATAGACTTCTGCGCTGTGTGTCTGTGTAGAGCGTTGTCTGTCACTGACCACCTCACACAGAACAAAAGGACCAAATCACAAAATCCACCTATATTTTTGCTATTTTTCTCCCAGTCCCTCCTCTCTTCTGAGGCTGATGCCTCCACAGCCTATGGAGCTGTTTGCTTCTCCTGTACCAAGCTTTGACCCCATCACCACCACCTTTGCCCCGGCTCCACTGGCTCCTCATCCCCGAGAGGATAGAGTTTAAAATCCTTGTCCTCACTTTTCAAGCTCTCCGTGGTCCTACCTACCTCTGGGACCTATTGACATCAAAACCAACCTGTCCGCTCCCTCCGCTTGGCGGGCATTGGCCTGCTCCATGTTCCCGCCCTGCTCGTTCCACCATTGCTAGTCGGACCTTCAGCCTTTCTACTCCCACCATCTGGAATTCCATCCCAGAGCCCCTCCACCTCACCCCCTCCCTTGCCTCCTTCAAGCACCCTCTCAAGACTTTCCTCCTCCCTATCTCCATCCCTTTTGATTCCAACCCCCAGCTCGGGTGCAATCCCTTCACTATCCAGCGTCTTGGGATGTCCTCCTGACTTGAAATGTGCTGTAGAAATATAATTTTGTTGTTGTTGTTGGTGAAGCAAAAATAATAATAATCCTTGCATTTGATATAGCGCCTTATCATTTATTCCAGACGTCTCAAAGCGCTTCACAGGATCCACTGTAAAGTGAATTGACTGTATATTTTGTGGGCGAAACGCAGCAGCCAATTGCGCACAGCAGCGTCCCACAGACAGCCGTGGATTGAAGTGACCAAATTATTATTATTATTGGGCTTAGAAAATGGGAGGAAGGAATATTGAGTGAAAAGTGGAAAAAACTATCAGAAACAAGTGAAATTCAACTGGAGTCAAACAAAGTCCCGGCTGTAACTCCTGGTATGTGAATCCCAGATACACTCACGTTGGAACACATGGTGGTATCAGACAGTGTGAGTCCCTGCAGATCCAGGTTCAGGCTCTTGGGCAACACGTTAGGTGATGGGCTGTTCTGGGGGGCAGTGGGGCTGCTGACTGTGGGGGGAAAAGAGAGCGATAACTGAACACAACGTACAACAAGCTGTTACAACACATCAGCTGCTTCAATACTGGTAGCTGGAGACCACATTTACTCAAAGTGTGCTGAGGCACAATAATAATAATAATAATCCTTGCATTTGATATCACGTCTTCGAGATGTCTTAAAGCTTCACAGAATATACTGTAAAGTGAATTGACTGTATAGTTTGTGGGTACAACACGGCAGCCAATTGCACACAGCAGCGTCCCACAAACAGTCGTAGGTTGAGTGACCAAATTATTATTATTATTTTTTTGAAGGGATTATTACCCCCAGAGAAGCGATCCACCAATCGATAAACAACCAGGTTCCTATTTGCTGCTGGTAAACAGAGGCGTGTGGAGTAAGGAAACTTGCTCAACATTTCGCCCTGTCCAGGAATCGAACACAGATTCTCTTGCTTACGAGGCGAGTGGTCTAACCACTGAGCTGCAGGACTCCAGTTAATAAAATCTAAAAAAGACAAATTTACTAAGCAGTGTAATCAACGTATAATTAATTCCGTGAAGTGCTTTGAGACGTCGAGAAAGACATGATAAGGTGCTGTATCAAATGCAAGGAATATTATTATAGCGCCTTATCACATCGTTGAGACGTCTCAAAGCGCTTCACAGAATATACTGTAAAGTGAATTGACTATATTTTGTCGCCGAAACACGGCCAATTGTATTTGTAGGAAAACACGGCAGGTGTGTGTGCCAGTGAGCTCCCACAAACAACCACAAGAAAAATTACCGATTATTGGCCAGGCTCCCAGGAGAAGCTGCTCTCTCCGAGCTCGCAGGTCACGTGGAGTTCCTCCTACATAGTCAACACCATCTCCTCAGGAAGAAAGTACAGCGTTGCTGCAGAATCAGCAATCCTCGTGCCCACACAATCAGTTCTCAACCCTGTCACTCACTGCTTAAAGTTTCCTTATTGTATGAAAACCCCACTGATCGTTAATTGAGATAACAAAAATAATAATAACCCTGACATTTGATACAGAGCCTTATCCCGTTATTGAGACGTCTCAAAGTGCTTCACGGAATATACTGTAAAGTGGATTGACTGTATTTTGTGGGCACAACATGGCAACCAATTGGTGACAGCTGGGTTCCAGAAACAGGCGTGGATCGAATGAAGTAATATTTTTTTATTCCTGGAAAAGCGACACGCGAATTGACTAACAACCGTGTTCCTAGTTACTGCTCGATAAATAGAGGCGTGTGGAGTAAGGAAATTTGCCGAAGGTTTCGCCCTGTCCCGGAATCGAGGCGAGCACGCTAACAACCACGCTACAGGACTCTAGATGTTCTTTCACCGGTGAGAAAAAGTATCACGATCTCATCACGGAGAGTACGTGTGAGTTATTCCATGTTAAAGAACTGCTGATCCCTGACGTCATTGGTGAGATGTCCTGAATTACATGGTGTATGTTCTGAAAATACTTTGGTTGCTCATATCTTTTTGGTGACTGTGTGAATGAATGCTGAGGGTATTTTTAGCCCTTATCTCATTGTCAGCTGCACACACCTTTGTCCACATGGCTCACTAATGCTGCAGATCCAATCTGTCCTCACAGATTCAAAGCAGCATTACAGACCGAGTTTACAGAGTTTATGAATGAATGCAAGCATTTTCTACAATATAAGCTGATAGTACAATATTAAAGGGGGTGAAGGAACAGAGAGACCTGGGGTTCATGTAAGTAAATCTTTGAAGGTGATAGGACAGGCAAATAAAGCTGTTAATAAAGCATCCGGGATACTGGGCTTTATAAATAGGGGCATAGAGTACACAAGTCAGGAAGTTATGATGAACCTTTATAAACACCGGTTAGGCCTCAGCTCGAGACTGTGCTCAGTTCTGGGCCCCACACTTTGGGAAGGAGGTCAAGGCATTGGAGAGGGTGCAAAGGAGATTGACCAGGATGGTACCAGGAATGAGGGACTTCAGTTATCAGGAGAGGCAGAGAAGCCGGGATTATTCTCCTTGGAGCAGAGAAGGTTAGGAGGAGACTTAATAGAAGTTTTCAAAATGATGAGGGGATTCGACAGGGTGAACAAGGAGAAACTATTCCCACTGGCGGGTGGGTCGGTAACCCAAGGACACCCATTTAAAATAGTTGTTAAAAGAAACAGAGAAGAGGTGAGGAGAAATGTTTTCACATAGTGAGTTGTTGGGATCTGGAATTGCCTGAAAGGCTGGTGGAAGCCGAGTCGATATCAACGTTTAAGAGAGAAATAGATAATTATTTGGGGAGGACAAGTTTGCAGGGCTATGGGGAGAGAGCGGGAAAGTGGGGTTGATTTGGAAGCTCTTTTCAAAGAGCTGGTACAGACATGATGGTCTCCTTTTGTGCCGTATAATTCTAAGATTCTACGTTACATCACTGAATGCAATAACAACTTGCATTTATACAGCACCTTTCACGTTGGGTAGCTTCCCGGAGCACTTGACAGAGTGTCTGACCCCTAGCCAGGGGGAGAGGGAGGGGGGAGGTGATCGTAAGCACGATCAAAAAGGAAGATCTTTAGGTGGGGTTTGAAGATGGGGAGAGAGAGTTTTGTGAGTATCATGGGAATTAGTTGGATCTTGTGTATGGTGGAGCTGGGGAGATCTGCGATGAGGGTATTGGAATAGTCCAGCCAGGAAGTGATGAAGGCGTGGTCGAGGATTTCAGCTGCATTGGTCATGAGGTACAGATGAGGTAGGCAATAATAATAATAATCCTTGCATTTGATATAGCGCCTTATCAAGTCTTCTAGACTTCTCAAAGCGCTTCACAGAATATATTGTGAAATGAATTGACTGTATATTTGTGGGTGAAACACAGCAGCCAATTGCGCACAGCAGTGTCCCACAAACAGTCGTAGATTGAAGTGACCAATTTTATTGTTGATTTTTTTGTCTTGAGGGATTATTATCAGGTGTGTGGAGTAAGGAAACTTGGCCAAGGTTTCACCCTGCCTGGGATCGAACCCAGGTCTCTCGCTTGCGAGGCGAGTGCTCAACCACTGAGCTACAGGACTCCTTAATGTGTGCAGAGCAATTGTGCAGCAATGTAATGAGCATGCAATGATGTAATGGGGACATTGTAGGCAATTCAGGGAGTTTGTGCCTGAACCTGAGATTATTACTTGTTTGGATTAGGATGCATTGGCTTCATGCTGGGGAGTGAAGGGATGGATGATTAGTCATAGGAGTATGGAAGGGGAAGTCATAGGGGAAGGGATGGGGAGATCATGGGAGGAAGGGAGAGGAGTCACGGGGAGAAGGGGTGAGGAGATCATGGGAGGAAGGGAGAGGAGTCATGGGGAGAAGGGGTGGGGAGATCATGGGAGGAAGGGAGAAGAGTCATGTGAGCAAGGGAGTTAACAAAACTTGTAATGAAAACTGCTCAAAACTTTGAATCTTGTGACAGTGTTAAGAGCACAAACTTCTGACAGAAAGGCAGTGATACAGGAATGACCTTTCTGCTTGTCACAACCATGCGAGGGGGCAGAATTATCTACAAATCTTAAGAGCTACAAAAAGTGACTGCTGGTACTTTAAACGTTGCATTCTCAGCATCAGTAGTGTAAAAAGCAGATTTTATCAACACCAGCCAGACATTCCAAAGTTTCAAAGTTCTTTCCAGAAATCACCATGAAACAGGAGAGCTAAACTCTCACTGTTAGTAACCTCCAGTCACACATGGACATCGTCCCCAAGCAGATCAAAACTGTGTTCTAAACACACCAATATTCACATTTCAAACTATTCATGACTATTATAACTTAATAGTGAAAGGCGCTATATAAATGTAATTTGTTGTTGTAATTCCTATTTATAACCCTTCTCCAGCTATACAAGCTAAAAATGCAAACATGTTAAATCCTAAATATTCACTCATTTAATTCCAACACCAAGTAAATCGAGTGAGTTGTATACATCAAAAATATAGATTTTAAGGCAGTTAATGTTGAGTCTCTACCAAAGTCTCCAATGTGATGGATGTGCAAAAGGTTCACTTACAGTCATCCAGGTCCAGCAGGGAGATCTCCTTCCTGTTAGCCTTGGGAGGTCTCGGAGCGGGTTTGCTAACGGAAACCTAAAGCGCAAGAAAGCAGAGGCCTGAGGTTTTCAATTGTCGGTGAATTACAGGTTTTATAATAATAATCTTTGCATGATATAGCGCCCTATCACGTTGTTGAGAGTTTTCAAAGCGCTTCCCATGTCCTGTAAAGTGAACTGACTTGAGTACCTTTACACTCCGATGCCTGACATTCTCTCACCTTTGGATGACTCCAAGAGGACTTAGACAGATTGGTAAAATGGGCAGAATGTGGCAGATGAGGAGAAATGTGGAGAAATGCGAAGTGTTGCATTTTGGTAGGAAGAATGAGGAGAGGCAGTGTAAACTGATGGTACAATCTTAAAGGGGGCAAATGAACAGAGACCTGGGGGTCCACATAAGCAAATCTCTGAAGGTGGCAGGACAGGTAGATAAAGCTGTTAAAAAAGCATCAGGCTTTATAAATAAATAAATAAATAAATAATAAATACATTTATAAATAGGGGCATAGAATACAAAAGTCAGGAGGTTATGTTGAATATTTATAAAATGCTGTTAGGCCTCAGTTGGAGACTGTGTTCAGTTCTGGGCTCCGCATTTTAGGAAAGGTGTTAGGGAATTGGAGAGGGTGCAAAGGAGGTTTACCAGGATGGTACCAGGAATGAAGGACCTTAGTTATGAGGAGAGGTTAGCAAAACTAGGATTATTCTCCCTGGAGCAGAGAAGATTAAGAGGGGATTTAATAGAGGTTTTCAAGATCATGAGAGGATTTGAACCGGGAAACACTGTTTCCACTGCATGTGGGTCAGTAACCCGAGGACACCGATTTAAGATAGTTGTTAAAGGAAACAGAGGGGAGGTGAGGAAAAACATTTTCACCAACAAGTTGTTGGGATCTGGAATGCATTACCTGAAAGGGTGGTGGAAGCCGATTCAATAGCAACTTTTAAGAGAGAAGTAGATGGGTATTTGGGGAGGACAGTATTGCAGGGCTATGGAGAGAAAGCAGGCCGGTGGGATTGAGTTGGAAGCTCTTTTAGGAGCCAACACAGACACGATGGGTCGAATGGCCTCTTTCTGTGCTGTATGACTCTATGAAAGCAGACCTCTTGATAATAATTTGCAAAAATATTCATATGCTACTGAGGCACGAGGCTGGTGTTGGTGTCCCAGAGATAGACAGGCAGCCTGACCCCCCAGACAGGCAGCCTGACTCCCCAGACAGGCAGCCTGACCCCCCAGACAGGCAGCCTGACCCCCCAGACAGGCAGCCTGACCCCCCAGACAGGCAGCCTGACCCCCCAGACAGGCAGCCTGACCCCCCAGACAGGCAGCCTGACCCCCAGACAGGCAGCCTGACCCCCCAGACAGGCAGCCTGACCCCCCAGACAGGCAGCCTGACCCCCCAGACAGGCAGCCTGACCCCCCAGACAGGCAGCCTGACCCCCCAGACATTCACCATTTATAAAGAAAAGTAATATCTTTAATTCCCTCCTATGTGTTAGTGATGTAATAGTCACTCCCCGTGAGCAGAGGTGCAGATCAAAACTGATCCCTTTTTTTATGCCACTGAGTAAATCTGAAGATCTGCTCCTCTGACTGGCCAGACATGTTGCCAAATTCAGGAGCACATTCACGACATCGGATCACACTGCTTAACCATGTATTCAGGTCAATCCTCATAGCAACTGTTTGAAAACAATTGGTCATTTACAGGGAGGAAAGTTATTCATTGATAATAATAATAATCCTTGCCTTTGATACAGCGCCTTATCACATCATCGAGACGTGTCAAAGCCCTTCACAGGATATACTGTAAATATCAGGTTCCTACTTATTGTTAGGTAAACAGAGGCGTGTGGTATAAGGAAACTTTCCTATGGTTTCGCCCTGCCTGGGAATCAAACCTGACTCCTCGCACTTGCGAGGCGAGTGCTCTAACCACTGGCCTACAAGATTCCACGTGATTAATGGTTTGACAAAGCCAGTTCATGGTAACAATCTGCAAGGGACTGAACATCAATGGTGAACAGTGTGTGTGCTGGGTGCAAGTCAGTGGACAAGAGGAGAAAATACCTGTGAATGAAAGTAACAACCGTATTGACCGACGTCTCATACCTTCTTCTTGCTCTTTGTGCGAGTGTCTGATTCAGAATCCTCCTCTGACTCAGACTCAGACGAGCTGTTTTCTGATGAGCTGTCCTCTTCGGATGAAGACTCGGAACTTGATTCATCCTTGATTTCTTCCACTTGTTTCCTCTTCTTCTTTATCATTTGCTTTTCTTCTCCTTCACTCTGCCCACTGACAAACACACCAAAATAAACACCAGGTTCTGATCTTACAGTCACAACAATAACGTGCATTTATATAGGGCCCTTCACATGGGGCAGTGTCTTGAAGCTCTTGACAATGGCGGAGCCTGATTCTGAGCTGGGGGGGAGGGAGGAGGTGACTGTAAACATGGCCGAAGAGGTCTTCAGTCGTGATAATAATAATCCTTGCATATGATACAGCAGGTGTTCGAGACGTCTCAAACCGCTTCACAGAATATACTGTAAAATGAATTGACTGTATATTTTGTTGGCAAAACACGGCAGCCAATTGAGTACAGTAACGTCCCACAAACAGTCATGATTTAAAAGAGGAGGGGGCGAGACGGTGGGATTGAGGGAGCGAGTTCCAAAGCTTCGGGAGCGTAGTGGTTGAAAGCGTGGCTGCTGATGGTGGAGTGGAGGGACAAGCAGGAGGCTGGAGCCAGCCGAGGGGGGCAGCGGGGAGTGGAGTGAGGAGAAAGCAAGTAACAACAACAACAACTTGCATTTAAATAGCATCTTCCATGCCGGTCGGTGTCCCAGAGCGCTGAACAATGGCAGAGCCCGATGCTGAGCCAGAGGGAGGGGGAAGGTGACCAGAGGCACAGTCGAAGAGGAACGTCTTCAGGTACAACTTGACACCATCCTCGGTCTCTCTCTCACACACTCGCAAACACGTCAGAAAAGTATGGAGGTGCCAGGGCATGAGAGGTTTGAAACGAGTGTGAGGATCTTGAAATCGATCGGTTCTGTGAAAGGGAGCCTGTGGAGCCCGGCTAGAACTGGTGTGATGGGGGTACAAAGTTTAGTGCGGGTGAGTATGTGGATATTTCAGGTACAGTCAGGGACTCGCTGGCTGAAATATACAAGCAGAAGAACAGCACACACCTGTCGTCACTCTGCTCAGCTCTCGCCTTGCTCTTGTCCTTTGCTTTCTTCCTCTTCTCTTTGTCAGATTTAGGTTCATTATCGCTCTCCTCGTCACTGTCTGAACTGGAGTCACTCTCGCTTTCCAGGCCACTCCCACTCGCGCTCTCGGACTCACTCGCAGACGGAGAGGCTGTGAACAGTTACAGTCATTGGTGAAAACACAGTGTCCTTGTGATGCTCCACTGGCAGAACCACTTGCTGCCGAACATCCAGCTCAGAGACGGTAGCCGCACACTACTTTTTTGTCCAGCCGGGTGTCTGACACACACGGAAACCCATCACCAGGTTTAAGAGTCTCCAAACCAAGCTGAGAATTCCAGTCCTCCCACCTACACATGGCAATCCCAGAGATAGATGGTTGGAATGGAATGCGCTCTCTCTCTCTCTCTCTCTCTCTGGAGGGACACATCCTGTTTACCTAATTCCGGAGAGTATTAGGTTGGCGAGAGCCAAGGCTTGGGGTACCCCAGAGTGTGCTTTGGGGTAACTGCTGGAGTCTAACCAGCTAAACCCACATCGCTTGCTGTTGATATCGCTGTCTGCTAAGCTTTCCCGCCACCAGTGACCGGTCTGCCACATGCGCACATTCACGCCCATGACTACACAATCATTCCCCACCTCACCTGGACCTTCACAAGAGGTGGCTATGGAACCCACCTAGGCCTCCACATTGATACATCTGCATCTCCGACTCTCACTAAATTATGTGCAGATACTGTAAACAATATGTTCAGTTACATGAACAAATGGAGCAGAAAAATACAGACAAACTAAACCAGGCAGTAAAGCCTGGTACAGCACTGATTACAATAATTGCCAACATTGTGGTGTAACTGTGGATTCTGGTATAGCTGCCTATTTATCCCTCCCTCTCCGATTTGCTTACCACTCCCCCACACTGCCTCCGCTCGGCTGGCCCCGGCCTCCTGCTTGTCCCTCGCCCCCTCCACTCCACCATTGGTGGCTGTGTCTTCAGCCACTGCCCCCTGAAACTCTGGAACACTCTCCCTCAATCCCCCCGGCTCACCCTCTCCCTCCCCACCTTCAAATCCCGTCCAAAGACTTTCCTTTTTGATCGGTTTATGGTCACCTCCCCCTCTCCCCTGGGCTCCGGGTCAGATTGCACCATTGTCAAGCGCTCTGGGACCTCACTCTGCTATATAAATGCAAGTTGTTGATGTTGTTCCACTTGTAAGATTGCCCGTTGTTCAGAGCAGGAGATGTGGTGTTTGCAAAGGGCAGATGTGACTGGCCTGGACATTAAGCAGCTGCCAGATACTCCCACAATTCAAGGCAATTTGTGTACAATTGACACAATGAACAAGAGCAGAGAGAGAGATGCCCTCTACACTGAACATTTACATCCTCACCTTCACAACACAGAACCTCACAACACACAAGATTTGGCTATTCGGCCCTTTGTGTCTGTGCTGCACTTTGAAAAATCAACCCACTCCGTCCTATTGACCTTGTTTACTCCCCCCCGCCCATGCCCCTGCCAATGGCTCCTGTTGCATGTCTATCTAATTCCCTCTTCAAACCTAATATGGATCCTGCATGGACCACTACACTAGCAGGTCCTTCCACGGCCTTTGCTCACTTGCTAAGTGTCTCAAATTGATGCCCTTCTAGTCACTGACTCACTGACCAGTGGAAATAATTTCTCCCCTTTTGATTCCATCAACACTCCTCACAGAATATTACAGCACAGAAGGAGGCCATTCAGCCCATCGTGCCTGTGCTGGCTGTTTGGAAGAGCGACCTAATCAGTCCCACTCCCCCGCTCTTTCCCCAAATCCTTACAATTTGTTTCCTCTTCAAGTACCTATCCAATTCCTTTTTGAAAGCTGGTATTGAATCTGTTTCCACCCTCTTTCAGGCAGCGCATTCCAGATCGCTGTGCAAAAAAAGTTCGCCTCGTTTCCCCTCTGGTTCTTTTGTCAATTATCTTAAATTTGTGTCCCCTGGCTACCGATCCTCCTGCCAGCGGAAACAGTTTCTCCTGTTCTAACCCCTCATAATTTTGAACTCATCATTCCAAAGCCCTCGATCAGGTCTGCTCGACCTTCTCTGCTAAAGTGGCAATAGGCCCAGTTCTGCTCAACATCTCCTCTCAACCCTCGATGGCTCTGAGGTCCTTCCTAATGTGGTGATCAAAACTAGACACAATAACTTGAATCCAATATTCAGCTCCTGGAAACTGAGACTCTACACGTCTGAACAGCTTCCTTATTTCCCATCCCAAATCAAACCGGATGATGGTCTAATTTGATTTATTCTGGAATTGAAGTTCAGGTTAAATCTGGCCATTTTAAATCAGATTTAATCACATTTGAATTAATTAACCCATTAACCCATTCCTACTAATTTCCTAAAGGCAAAAAATGTATGCCTTGAATTGCCTAATCACCTTACATGTTATGATGTTCCCTCCCCTCAGTCGGCTCCGGCTGCTCCACCTCCCCCGACCCACCCGCCCCACCATTGGTGGGAGAGCCTTCAGCCACTCTGCCCCCAACCTCTGGAATTCCATCCCCCAATCACTCCGCCTCACCCCCTCCTTACCCTCCTTCAAGTCCCCCCTCAAGACCCTCCTCTTTGACCATGTCATCCGCCACCTCCCTTACCCACCAACCCCAGCTCGGATCTGAAATGCTGTACTCTGTACACGCCTTGGGATGTGAAAGGCGCTATACAACAACAACAAGATTCCATTTATAGAGCACCTTTCACGTTGGGAGGACATCCCAAGGCGCTGTACAGTTGGGTCAGGACCCGAGTAGGGGGGAAATGGTCAGGGTGAGGGGACGGAAGGGAGGGAGCGAGGAGGGGGCAGAGAGTCGAGAGGGGAGCTGAAGGCACGGTCAAAGGTCGAGACTGGCCTTGAAGGAGGAAAGGGAGGAAGCGGCGAAGGCACTGGGGATGGAGTTCCAGAGCCTCGGGGCTGAGAGGCTGAAGGCCCGGCCACCGATGGTAGGGCGGTTGGGGCGGGGGATGTGGAGCAGACCGGAGCCAGAGGGACGGAGGGTACGGGCAGGTAGGTAGGGGGATAGTAGGTCAGAGAGGTAGGAGGGAGCGAGGCCGTTAATGGCCTTGTAGGTGAGGATGAGGATCTTGAATTCGATCCTCTGGGGGATGGGAGCCAGTGGAGGCGGGCGAGGGCGAGGGTGGGAGTGATGTGGTCTCGGTGTCTTGTGCGGGACAGTACACTATCTGCAGAGTTCTGAATGACCTGCAGTGTGGAGGGAGGGCCGGGAAGGCCGGCGAGGAGAGAGTTCCCATAGTCCAGCCTTGAGGTGATGAAGGCGTGGACCAGAGTTTCAGCCGCGTGAAGGGTGAGGTAGTGCCGTAGTCTGGCCATGTTCCGGAGGTGATGGAAGGCAGTGCCAGTTGTGGGGCGGATATGAGGGAGAAAGCACAGCTCAGGGTCGAACAGAACCCCGAGGTTCCTGATGGCTTTGAGAGGTGGAGAGTGCGGCCTTGGATGCTGATGCTGTCAGCGCCTGAGGTGCGGAGGCGCTGATGTGAGCCAATCAGGAGGGCCTCAGTTTTACGCACATTGAGCTGAAGAAAGTAGCTGCTGCAGTGACGGTATTGAGCCGCCGGGCCGTGCTGTTGTTGCTGCGCTTCACGGTAACGGCTGCTTTGACAAATGTAATCTTTTGTTGTTGTTGTTGTCCACACAGTCTCCCAATCATCCCTTGTCCCTTAGTTTGTGCTTTACAACTGCTGTTCAAAGGTGTGGAGAGTTGTGTGGAGTAAGGAAACTTGCCCGAAGTTTCTCCTTGCCCGGGGATTGAACCCAGGTCCTCTCGCTTGCATGAACAAACATTGAGGCAATTCACTTTACAATGTATCCTGTGAAGCGCTTTGAGACGTCTCGAAGACGTGATAAGGTGCTGTATCAAGTACATATTTTACTTACGAGTGTCTGCGGACTCGGTGGGTTCTGACTCCTCCTCGGAATCGGAGTAGAATGGTTTCTCCACCTTCTCCTTCCGTTTCTCCCTGCTGCTCGGCTTTGTCCACTCGGGAACCTGGAAGGGGAGGGGATCAATGACAGCTCATCCTCAAACATACAGCGCAGGAACGCCAACAGAAGAGCAGAGAGAATTTAAAAGTAGCACTGGAGGTCAGAATGTGATCCGTCACTTCATTTGTAATTATTCGATAACTGTTCATCTGCCAAACCCCGGGTCTGGTCAGCAGAGTGTCCGAAAGTAACTGAACCTAAGAATAAGAATAATCCTTGCATTTGATATAGCGAGTAACACATCTTCGTGATAAGGCGCTACATCAAATGCAAGAATTATTATTGCTTGCTATAATAATCCTTGATAATCAATAATTACTATTATTATCTATCTACCTCAGTCTTGAAGGTATGAATGGATCCACCATCCACAGCCTTTTGGGGAAAAGAGTTCCAGATTTCCACTAGCCTTTGTGGGTCTCCTGATTTCACTCCTAAATAGCTTAGCTCTAATCTTAAGATGATGCCCCTTGTTCTGGGTTCCCTCAACCACCAGAGGAAATAGTTTCTATGAATTATGCATTGAGATAAGCGTCCCTGTTATAATAATAATAATAATAATAATAATAATCCTTGCATTTGATATAGCGCTTTTCACGTCGGGAGGACGTCCCAAAGCGCTTCACAGAACACACTGTAAAGTGAATTGACTGTATATTTGTGGGCGAACGCGGCAGCCAATTGCGCACAGCAATGTCCCACAAACAGTCGTAGATTGAAAATGACCAATTTATTATTGTTTTGTTTTTTGAAGGGATTATTATTAGGCTCTGTGTGGAGTAAGGAAACTTGCCCAAGGTTTCGCCCTCTGCCTGGAATTGAACTCAGGTCTCTCGCTTGCAAAGCGAGTGCTCTAACCACTGAGCTACAGGACTCCACCTGTTGTGTTGGCTATGCATTTACTGGGACCACTGAAAGCTCCCACCAAGTTCTCAACTGGAGAGCAAGACATCTGTCCAAATACCTGACCAGGGTGTTGGCAGCACAGAGCACAAGTCACACTACATCAAGCAGGTCCCTCTCCCCAGCACCTGCTCATTTGGAAGTTTAAGCATTACTCAGCTCAGATACTATCACCAGCTTCATGCCAGAGTAATAACACTCACTTAGCCAAGCACTGGCCAGCTTGGTACTGTGATTGGTAACCAGCTTGTTACAATACTGTACTAGCAACTCAGGACAGAGTAACAGTCAGCTCAGTGGAACCCTCCGATAGCCAGAAATAATAACAATAATCCTTGCATTTCATATAGCGCCTTATAACATCTTTGAGACGTCCCAAAGCGCTTCACAGAATATACTGTAAAGTGAATTAACCGTATATTTTGTGGGCAAAACGCAGCAGCCAATTGCCCACAGCAGCGTCCCACAAATAGTCGTGGATTGTTTATTATTTTTTTTTGAAGGGATTATTATCCCTAGAAAGTGATCCACCAATTGACTAACAACTGTTCCTACGTACTGCTGGGCAAACAGAGGCATGTGGAATAAGGAAACTTGCCCAATGTTTTACCCTGTTGGGAATCGAACCCAGGTCCTCTCGCTTGTGAGGCGAGGGATCTAACCACTGAGCTACAAGATTCCACGTTCATGAAATCCCAAACTGTGGTCATGGTCTTGGGATCAGAAGTGAATGATAAAATGTTGTTTAGTTGAGTGTGTTTGTACTCGTTCCCTGGTGTTGAGCAGACATACAATCTTCATTATAAATAGTTTTAATTAAGTTGAGCTGAGTTGCTGGTCTAACACGAGATAAACTGATCTGAGAAGATGTCAATACGCTGAGTGTTGCATTATGAGGAGTTACGTTAGCTAAGAGAGCAATGAGTGTTATTGCAGCTGCTGTACAGACTGAGGTGTAATCAGGAGCAGCCAAGGCCGGCATTAACATAACCAGGTGTCTGAAAAAGCCGCGACATGCACTGATCTGGGGTTGCTGACCACGTCAGGTTAGTGGTTAGTTGGTTGTGGAGCCCTGTAGCTCAGTGGTTAAAGCGCTCGCCTCGCAAGTGAGAGGACCTGGGTTTGATTCCCGGGCAGAGCGAAACGCTGGGCAAGTTTCCTTACTCCCCCACGCCTCTGTTTACCAGCAGTAAGTAAGAACCTGGTTGTTAGTCAATTGGTGGATCGCTTTTCAAAAAATAACAAAAATAATAATAATTTGGTCACTCAATCCATGACTGTTTGTGGGACACTGCTGAGCACAATCAGCTGCTCGTTTCTCCCATGAAATATAACATAAAGACTGTGATTGCACCCCATTATAGCGCTGGTTAGGATTTGATGGAATCCCCATCGGGTTATAAAGAGGTTCCAGCCAGGGTTCCTGATCCCTATACAGACTCTCTGTTATGTGACAGCCGGGTGGGGGGAGGTCAGGCTCGGCTGTGACACCCAAAGATACTCACTGCAAGGCTCACACCTGGACAACAGCCCTGCGGCAGAGGGTTAAGAGAATAAGAGTTTGCTGGCGAGAGAAGACCAAGGTCCATCTAGTTCTCCTCCACCATCCTGGCAGTCACTGACATGTCGTGTCCCAAACTATACACTGTTTCCCCAGATATTATTTTCTAGCAGAAATTGATCTCATTTGTTCTTGGAACAAACAACATTCTCTGCTTCCACTATCTATCTCCCTCGGGAGCCTGGTCCATACGTTCACTACTCACTCACTCAAGTAATGTTTCCGCAGATTTGTTCTGAATTTACCCCTTCAATCACAGACTGTGTCCTCTGGTTCTACTGTTCAGTACAAGATAAAACAGCTTATCACTGTCCAGTCCCTTCAGAATCTTAAAGGCAGGGAGTCAATCCTTTATGACCTTTTGTGCAGTTATACGGGAAAAACCTTGTGCAGCAGTGGTCGCCTGAAGCTTAAATCAGTGATCCTTCAGATCCCCCACATTCAGTGTCTGTACAGTCATTGAGTTATCAACCTCCCACGACATTCATATCTCATATACTTGATGTTGACTTCCTGATCATACAGGAATCTCTTACCCCGCAATTGTAAGGGTCTCAAATACCTATTAGGGACAGAAAGCTTAGGTCCCTGTCCTAGCGCTAAGTGTGTCGTAAAGGTTTGAACTGAAGTGAGAGTTTGTTTTAAGAAGATCAGACAAAAAAAAGACAACATTTCCACATGTCTCCCCAGCACACAGGACCCACATTAATGAGCATCTTAGAGGCCGTGCAGGGGCTAAGGCAGCCAGTGTCCATCCTGTCTGTCACGCCAGAGTCAGTGTCAACCTTTTCCTGTGACATTTTAAAGGGTGATCTCAAAATAAACATCTACAGCCAATTTCATCTGGTCTGTGTGTGTGTGTGTGTGTGTGTGGGGGGGGGGGGGATAGGGGGGTTAAATGCCCCTGTTCCATTGTATCCACAAGGACTAGCAGATGGATGATCTTTTCCACTAGGTCAGGTCTTTCTGCGGATTTAGAAAGACTGAAGAGCGTTGTGCCTGTCATCAGCAACGCTGAACTGTTGCAATGGTTTCTGGACATAAACACCAGTCAATGAACAGCTCAAGCGAGGGAGAGAGAGATCAGTCTGTGTAGTGGCCGAGCTGTAGGGACCTGTGCACTGAGTGACATGTGACTGGCGTGTGGGAAACTTCACATCACCAATTCTATCTGCTAACTGTCCCGCACAGCTCAGCATGCGAGTGTCCACACGGCATTTACATTGTGTAAGCCCAGAAAACAGCCACAATGTGGAAACAGAGCGTTTCCCACCCCACCATCCGCACGAGGAGATTCATAAAGTCCAATAGATTTAGTTTCAGGGAAAGATGGAATCTCATCCCAGATAAGTGACGTTTAGCTGGAATGTAACTCTGATGTCCTGAATGTGAGGCAATCCCACTGTTCCTAATGGAAGCACACAGCACTGCACACAGAGCATCCCGTCCAAGTGACACAACACTGCACACAAACCCCTGCCCACACCTCTTTCCAGTCTCCCAGCAGTCCCACTCTCAGCTCAGGCTCGGCGAGCACGTCCTCCTGTGGGCAGCACGTAAAGCAGATTCCCAGTCAGCTCTGGGATCAGAGATGGATCTCTCCGCGAGGTCACACACCCTGCTCCCGGCTCACACCCTACACTACACACCGACCACCTCAGGTTTTCCTCACACCCTGTTATTGTGCTAGCGCTAGGAACCCCCTCGCTTTGCCCTTTCATAAAGAGGTTATGTGGAGAGACTAGATAAGTCCAATTCTGGCTACCACACTTTAGGAAGGATATCAAGATCTTCAAGAGGATGCAAAGGAGATTTACCAGAATGGTGCCAGGGATGAGGGACTTTAGTTATGTGGCAAGACTAGAGAAGCTGGGATTGTTCGCCTTAGAGCAGAGAAGGTTAAGGGGAGATTTAATAGAGGTGGTCAAAATTATGAGGGGTTTTGAGTAGATTGTGAGAAATTGTTTCCACTGGCTGGTGGGTCAGTAACCAGGGCACATAGATTCAAGATAATTGGCAAAAGAACCAGAGGGGAGACGAGTAGAAATGTTTTTACACAAAGATCTGTTATAGTCTGGAAGGCTGGAAACAAATTCAACATCTTTCGAAAGATACTTGGAGAAACATTTGCAAGAATATGGGAAAGAACGGGGGAGTGGGACTGATTGCGTAGCTCTTCCAAGGATCCTTCTGTGCTGTAATGTTCTATGATTCTATGAAATCACAACCCCAAGTTGTTGTGGCTCAGCCTATACTACACTGATCCATAATAATCTCAGGATCCAGTCCTCGCAATACACTGGCCTGGGTAAATGATTGCGAGCTGGGTAGAGAGTGGAGCTATGATAACTGATCCAAGGCTTATCGCATTACGTTACCAACGTATGATTTGTTGAACCAAACTCAAACAAAGGCATGTCGTCCCCACTAAACAATAGGTGATAACAAGAACAACAATAATGAAAATAATAATCATGGTGATGGGTTTTCGCGTGTGTCAAGATACCCGTCTGACCCAAAACAAAGAAGACAGAGGATGAAAAGCAGGTGTATCCTTCAGGTGTACACTTGGTTGAGTAAGACAAGAGTCGGTATCACAGAACAGCCGTGTTATTGAAATTCCACCACACTCCACTGCTCTGAGATGCCTGTAAATGTTGTGTGTATCCATGCCAGCCATTGTTTGCTGCTTCCTGGCACCATAGAAACAGGAGGAGGCCATTCAGCCCCTTGAGCCTGTTAATGTAACATAATATAACATGTAGGAGCAGGACTAGGCCATTCGGCCCTTCGAGCCTGCCCCGCCATTCAATCATGGCTCTTCTAATCTAACTCCAGCTAATACAGCTGATCTGTACCTCAAGTCCAATTACCCACCTTTGCCCCGTATCCCTTGATACTCTGACCTAACAAATATCTATCCACCTCATTCTTGAAGCTGTGAATAGATTCAGCCATAATTCACATTTTTGGGGGGAGAGAGTTCCATTTTCTTTATCCTTTGGGTGAAAAACTGCCCCTGATTTCACTCCTAAATGGCCCGGCTCTAATTTTAAGATGATACCCCCCTTGTTCTGGATTCCGCGACGAGAGGAAATAGTTTCTCTGTATCTACCCTATCGAATCTCTTTATTACTTTAAAAGCCTCAATCAGATCACCCCTCAACCTTCTAAACTCAAGGGAAGAGAAACCAAGGTTATGCCACCTGTCCTCATAATTTAACCCTTTAAGCCCCTTGGTATCATTCTGGTGAATCTGCGCTGCACCCCGTCCAGAGTCAGCATATCCTTCCTGAGGTGTGGTGCTCAAAACTGAACACAGTCTCCAGAGGGGGATCTGACCAGGCTCAGGCAAGCCCTGGAGCTTGTCTGCTCGGCTCACTGTCCCCTGGTTTAACTGCTCCTACTGTACAGTGTGGAGACCATCTGATGGAAGGTTACTGCTGACTGACTCGGACAGAAAGCTTTACCTCCACGTTGCGGACGGAGGGGTCTGGGGCCACCTCAGGCCAGTCGGGCAGCTCCTGGTAACCTCCTGTCTTGCTGTTCAGTAAGTGGGACAGGGATCCCAGCTGGAAGTGATCCCGATCTGAGAGAGCAGAGATGTAAAGGTCAGACATCAGGGAGCTGTGTGTGAGCTGGTTATACAGGGAAGGTCAGAGGCTCCGAGGGGGACAAGAGGGGAGTCGGACAACAGCGACAACTTGTGTTTATATAGTGTCCTCATATGGGGCAGCGTCTCCAAGTGAAACAACAATAACTTGCATTTTACACAGCGTCCCTCACACAGGGTAATGTCACAGAGCGCTTGACAGTGTCGAAGCACGACTCCGAGTCGGGGGAGGTGGGAGGTGACTGTAGACACGTTTGAACAGGAAGGTCTTCAGGCGCGACCTGAAGATGGGGAAGGAAGAGGCAAGGAGGCGAGAGGGATAGGGGAGGAGTGTTCCAGAGCGTAGTGGCTGAAAGCACAGCCAATGGTGGAACAGAGGGCACGAGGATCATGCAGGAGGCCGAAGCCAGTCGAGCAGAGGCAGCAGGTTGTGGGTCAGAGAGTGGTGAGAGGGTGAGAGGGTTGGCTGACAACAGAGGGTCAGGGAGGCAGAGACTCAGAATACTAAATGTTGAGTGAATTCTAATTTAAATGGTGAATCTTTCAGAATGGTGCCAGGGATGGGGAACTTTAGTTATGTGGAGAGACTAGAGAAGCTGGGATTGTTCTCCTCAGAGCAGAGAAGGTTAAGGGGAGATTTAATAGAGGTGTTTGGAATTATTAGGGGTTTTGATAGAGTAGATCGCAAGAAATTATATCTACTGGCCGGTGGGTCAATAACCAGGGGATGTAGACTCAAGATAATTAGCAAAAGAACCAGAGGGGAGATGAGATATTTTTTTACCCAGAGTGTTGTCACGGTCTGGAATGCGCTGTCTGAAAGGGTGGAAACAGATTCAATAACAAATTTCAAATTTCAAAAGGGAATTGAAGAGGAACTTGAAGAGGAAATATTTGCAAGGATTTGGGGAAAGATTGGGGAAGTGGCGCTGATTGGGTCGTTCTTCCAAAAGCAGGCACAGGAATGATTGGCCGAATGGCCTCCTTCTGCGCTGTAATATTCTGTGATTCTATGTGCCCCACCAGGTGCCTTAACCCTGGATTTATCACAGTTATAACTGATACCATTAAACAAGCTGTAACAGGCCCATTGCCTACCTTTGAAGGAGGACTCAAGGACGGGGGCCGGCTTCTGGGCCAGGAACAGTTTCTTGGCGTACTTGCTGAGGACCCCGCTCTTCTCGGTCGGTACAATCAGCTGGCGGATGAAGCGAGCGCGATCCCGGATGTCATAGTTCTGGTCGTACTTGGCCAGGTTCAGCACATACTGTGTCAGTAGCTTGGTCTGTACCAACAAAAACAGCTTACATTTACACTGCGCCCCTCACACAGGGTAACGGCCCACAGCATTCAACAGTGCCGGAGCACGACATTTGTGGGTAAATGCTGCAGTCACTTCACACAAGCAATGTCCTACAAACAGCCATGACACCAGGAGAAACTCTCTTTTATTTTTGATGAATTACTTATTAATCACTCATTATCGTCAGTGTGTCTTCACTGATACTTTTTCACTGAAACTTAACAAATGTCAATTCCCAGCTCTGTACCTGTTTGGAGTTGGTGAGGTACAGTTTGGCTGCCAGGTTGATGATCTGCAACTTAACAATGTCCTCTTCGCTGGTGAAGGACTTGGCCATTTTGCGCAGCACGTCGGGAGCGATCTTGGGAACGTGCTCGCAATATTCTCCGATGAGCCAGAGGATACTGGCCCTCGCCATAGGCACCTGAACAAACACAGGAGAAAGACCTTTATAGTGAGCGAGCTCCCTGTTACAGGATGTGACAGACCCTGCCTGTGCTCGCCTGCCTCTCTACATCCACGGTACAATTGACATTTCGATAGAAATAAAAGTAAAAGTGGCCGGGAACACTCAGCAGGTGAGGGAGCGCCTACGGAGAGAAGAAAATGAGTTAACGTTTCAGGTCGATGACGGCCACTTCTGTTTTTATTTCAGATTTCCAACATATCCAGTATTATAGCGTCTTTCACGCGGGAAGACGTCTCAAATCATTTTACACGGCTGGCTGTGCTCCTGAGCCCCTGGGACAGGAGCTGTGTGGGAGGAGGATGGGGAAGGGGAGGGGAAAGGTGACCAAAAGTGCTGTCAAAGAGGTAGGTCTTGAGACGGGGCTTCGAACGTGGAGAAGGCGGGGGCGATGGAAACTCTAGCTACTGACTATTCCCTGAGCTAATCAGTTTCCCCAACAATAACAGCAAGTCTCTGAAATGGTCACTTTGCACCACTGATTTCTAATAATAATCCTTGCATTTGATATCGCGCCTTATCATATCTTCGAGACGTCTCAAAGCGCTTCACAGGTTATAAATGACAAAGAAGCTGAAGGATTTCAATGTAAATAGTGCCTGACCAGGTGTGAGGATACTGAGGATTACTATACACCAAGGTGATAAGAGGGGTGCAGTGAGATTTACGAGGATGATACCAGGGATGAGTGGTTAGGCTATGAGCTGGAGGGACTGCGATTCACAGCCTAGACTGTGAGCTCAAAGTCCTGACGTGGGGGCTTGAACCCACAGCCTTCTGAGTCAGAGGCGAGAGCACTATCGACTGAACAAGGCTGACGCCTTTAGTGATTGGAGATTGAAAGAGCTTGGGTACATACCTATTAGGTCAGGGAATCAAGGGATATGGAGCAAAGGCGGGTAAATGGGACTTGAGGTACAGCTCAGCCATGATCTTATAGAATGGTGGAACAGGCTCGAGGGGCTGAATGGCCTCCTTCTGTTCCTATGTTCCCAGAAGCTCTGTCTGTAATTATTGCTGGAGGGTGACAATCTCACAGGAGTAACGAGGAAATGCAGTCATAGGGGACAACCAGAGCCACACGCTCACCATGATGTTGTCGATCAGCTTAGCCATGTGTTTGATGATGTCACTGTGCTGTGATGGTTGCATCTGCAACAGCTTCTTAATGACAACCACCGACTCAGCTACAACCAGCTCTGTAACAGGACAATACATCAGCCTTCTGTCTCCCACCGCGTCTCACGCTGTACCCAGCAGGGCCCATTCCGCTTAATAACACATTATAATAATAATAATCCTTGCATTTGATACAGCGCCTTATCACATCTTCGAGAAAAGCGCCTCACAGGATATTGTGGGTGAAAATATAAATACACTATAAATATACACTATATAATGTAGTGAATACATATTTTGTGGACAAAACGTGGGAGCCAATTGCACACAGTGGTGTCCCACACACGGATGTGAATTGATTGACCATATTATTATTATTATTTTACTTTTAATTTTTTGAAGGGATTATTACCCTCGGAAAAGCGATCCACTATTCGACTAACAACCGGGTTCCTACTTACTGCTGGTAAACAGAGGCGTGTGGAGTAAGGAAACTTGCCCAACGTTTCGCCCTGACCCGGGATCAAACCCAGGTCCTCTCGCTTGCGAGGCGAGTGCTCTAACCACTGAGCTACAGGACTCCACGATCTAGCAGAATGGCGCCACAGGCTCAAGGGGCTGGACAGCCCACTCCTGTTCCTGTGTTCCCGTCCCGTGCAGTAGGTTTAGCTGCTGGACTGCAGGCAGTGTGTGTTACTACAAGTCACTCCTCACCGTCTCTGTTGGACAGCAGCTGCACCAAGCCATTCAGGCAGGTGTCCCGGACCTCCCCAATGTTGGTGGCACATCGACCGATGGCCTGGATGGTGGCAGCCACAAAATCCTTGTCCTGGCTCCTGATATACGTCTGTGAGAGAAAGAGAGAGCTCTTTAACAACAACAAATTACATTTACACAGGGCTTTCATGTTGGGTGGACGTCCCAAGGTGCTAGACAGTAAGGGGTTTGTACCCGAGCAGGGGGTTGGGATGGGGGGGGGGGGGGGAATGTGGTCGGTGGAGGGCAGGGTGGAGGAAAGCCTTGAGACATGCCTTGAAAGAGGCAAGGGAGTGGGCGAGGCGAATAGACTGTGGGATGGAGTTCCAAAGGGTGGGGGTTCAAACCCTATTCTTTTTTGCCCTCTAGGGAAAGTTGAGGACCTTGACAAGTCTGAATGTTGCTGCAGTTCCCAGTCCCGTCACCTCGACATCCAAGGGCAGCGGGAAGAGGAACTTTCCACACTTCCAGTACCAGCCAACAGGCCACAGTATATTACAGATCACAATACATCACCCACAGTTTGTTTTCTGTGCTGGTGTTAAAATAATAATAATAATCCTTGCAGCTTTGGAATAGCAGCTCATCTTGGACCATTTCCCCATTTTACTTAACCACTTAACACCTTACTTCACAACCATCTGGTAAATATCCTCGTGGGGAGGAGGGGGAAACTTGGGCCCCTTGGGCCTGAGCTGACTCAGAGGTGATATTCCCGGCAATGGAATGTCGGAATCCAGCCCAGCCTCTGTGACGTTTTCTAGTCTGATTCCTGAGCCAGGAGGGTCCACAGTATTCCAGGGCACTCACTGCTGATGTCAGCACAGCCAGTGCTCAAACCACAGAACCATAGAAATTTACAGTACAGAAAAAGGCCATTCGGCCCATCTGATCCTATCACTGTGTTGTGATAGGATCAGAAGTGAATTAAGAGACCGTCACAGATAATTTATGGATGTTTATGCTTTTTAGCTAGTGTTGAACTGACCTGGGCAACAACAATCTTGATTATAAAATATTGTTCTAATTAAGTCGAGCTGAGTTGCAGAACTGTAGTGTAAGTATAACAGTTTTGTGGGTTAGACTAAAGCACATTCTGGGGTGTCCAAGCCTTGCCTTCTGCCAACCTCTGCATCTCGAGTTAGGTGAGCAGAGTGAGTCCCTCTAGGAACAAGGACATTCCTGTATCTTAGTGGTTAGAGGACTCGCCTCGCAAGCGAGAGGACATAGGTTCAATTTCCGGGCAGGGTGAAATGTTGGGCAAGTTTCCTTACTCCACACGCCTCTGTTTACCAGCAGTAAGTAGGAACAAATGTTAGTCGATTGGCGGATCACTTTTCTGGGAATAATAATCCCTTAAAAAAAATCAAAGTAATAATTTGGTCACTCAATCCACGACTGTGGGACACTGCTGAGTGTAATTGGTATTTGATACAGTCGTTAAGACGTCTCAAAGCTCTTCACAGAATATACTGTAAAGTGTAGTGACTATATTTTGTGGACGAAACATGGCAGCCAATTGCGCACAGCAGCGTTCCACAAACTGTTGTGGATTAAGTGACCAAACTATTAATATTTTAAGGGATTATTACCTCTGGAAAAGCGATCCACCAATCGACGAACAACCGAGTTCCTTCTTACTGCTGGATAAACAGAGATGTGTGGAGTAAGGCAACTTGCCCAACATTTTGCCCTGACCAGGAATCAATGGTCTTCTCACTTGCGAGGCAAATGCTCTAACCACTGAGCTACAGGATTCTACTTCTATGGAACTCCCACTGGTTTGGATACTCCTAAGGTTCAAAATATGTTGGTCAGGAAGCTATAGACCCTTTTAAATCCAATCCCCAAGGCTTTGTGTATGCCGGCTGGGCAGGCTTTGACTTTATGGGGAATGAAACTACCTCCACACAATACCAATCTACTTTAATATATTGTTAGAGGAAGCCAATTGCATTCTGCAGCCTGTCTCACTTAATTCAAGTCACATCGGACGGAGCTGTCTTCCTGAACTCAGGGTGACCTGAGGGTTGCAATGTGTGTGTCTCCCTGAGGCTGGAGATCACGGCACCTTGAACAGTCACTGAGGCCATCAGAACAAACAGCCCTCTGATCCTGACTGACTGACCGGAACGGTGATTAGATCATTCAGGCTGTGAGCCGTGATGTTACTTGGGGCCCAGTGTCTGCACTTGGAGAGATTGTGTGGAATGGCTGGAGTATAGAGAGCAAGTGGAGAATGTGTTGGGCATTTGTGACATTTAACAAGCCTGCCTGCTGCCAGCCGCTGACTCCACTCCAATTGCTCATTCATGTCCGTGGCTGTTTGTGGGGAAGTTGCTGTACGCAAATTGTCTGCGGTGTTTGTTGTTGGTTGGCCAGTTGTCTAACACACACATCAACGTGTCTCCAAACCAGACTGAGAATTCCATGGATGCCACTTATTCATGGAAACTCTCGTGTCTGGAATAGAATACGCACTGGATCCCAGAGGGACGCACCCTGCTTACCTAATTCCGGAGAGTATTAGGGGCAGGTTATCAGAATATAAGCCTTGCATTTGATACAGCGCCTTTCACATTAGGAGCATGTCTGAAAGTGCTTCACAGGATTTGCTGTACATGTAGTGACTGTATGTTTTGCAGACAAACAGGGCAGTCAAATTGCGCAGTGTCCACACAAAACAACTATGAAGTCAATTACTGACCTATTATGAATTGTGACCAGTTTATTTGGGGGATTGTTGGCCAGGAACCCAGAGAGAGAAAAACTCCCTTCTCTTTTCAAACAGTGTCACAGGATCTTTAACGCCCACCTGAGCAGGCAGACAGAACCTTGGTTTAATTAAATTCATAGAGTTTCATACAACTTTACAACACGGAAAGAGGCCATTCGAACCAACAAGTAGTCCGTGCTTACTGTGTTTATGTTCTGCCAAACCCCCACCCTTGCTATTCCCCTCTATTCGCTTCTGCCGTATATCTGAATCAAGTTTTCTCTTAAATACATACATTGCTGCTTTTTGCTTCAACCACAGTTTCTGGCAGTGAGTTCCACATTCTAATAATAATCCTTGCATTTCATATAGCGCCTTGGGATATCCTTCTGACGTGAAAGGTGCTTTACAAATGTAATCTTGTCGTTGTTATTACGTTTTTATGACTTCTCAAAGCACTTCACAGAATACACTGTATTTGCATATTTTGTGTAATGACTGTGTTTCGTGGGCAAAATGTGGCAGCAAATTGCACACAGCAGTGTCCCACAAACAGTCGTGGATTGAGTGATCAAATTATTATGATTTTTATTTATTTATTTGTTTGTTTTTGAAGGAATTATAACACGCGGAAAAATGACTCACAAGCCAGTGTGTGAAGAAGTTCCTCTTAAACTCCTAAACACAAAATTGCCACACTCAGAGCTGCACACCCCGCTGTGGCTTCCATGACTACCCTCTCCCTTCCCTCCCTACCCAGCCCCCCCCCCCCACCCCACTCTCTCCGTACCTGGAACTCCCGCAGGATAGTGGATATGTTGGTCTCACTGGCCAGATTGGTTAAGACTTCCAGCTGCAGGAGAGAAGAGAAAATAATAATAATTATCCTTGCATTTGATATAGCGCCTTTTACATCGATGATACATCTCAAGCACTTTATAGGATACACTGTAAGGTGTAGTGACCGTATATTTTGGGGGCAAAATGCGGCAGCTAATTGCCCACAGCAGTGTCCCACAAACATCCATGGAGTGAGAGACCAATTTTATTTAGGGGTTTGTTGGCCAGGATACCAGGAAAAAGAAATCCCTTCTCTTTTCAAATAGCATCATGGGGTCTTTAATATCCACCTGAACAGGCAGACGGGACCTCGGTTTAACATCTCATCCAACAATGCAACACCTCCCCAGCACTGCATTGGAGCATTCACCTTAAACTATGTGATTCAAAGTTCTGACATGGGGCTTGAACCCACACCTTTCTGACTCAGAGGCGAGAGTGCTACCACTGAGCCAGGCTGACACACAGTGACTGAGCCAGGCTGACACACAGCGACTGAGCCAGGCTGACACACTGAGCCAGGCTGACACACAGTGACTGAGCCAGGCTGACGCACAGCGACTGAGCCAGGCTGACGCACAGCGACTGAGCCAGGCTGACACACAGCGACTGAGCCAGGCTGACACACTGAGCCAGGCTGACACACAGTGACTGAGCCAGGCTGACACACAGCGACTGAGCCAGGCTGACACACAGCGACTGAGCCAGGCTGACACACAGCGACTGAGCCAGGCTGACACACAGCGACTGAGCCAGACTGACACACAGCGACTGAGCCAGACTGACACACAGCAACTGAGCCAGACTGACACACAGTGACTGAGCCAGGCTGACACACAGTGACTGAGCCAGGCTGACACACAGTGACTGAGCCAGGCTGACACACAGCGACTGAGCCAGGCTGACACACAGCGACTGAGCCAGACTGACACACAGCGACTGAGCCAGACTGACACACAGTGACTGAGCCAGGCTGACACACAGTGACTGAGCCAGGCTGACACACAGTGACTGAGCCAGGCTGACACACAGTGACTGAGCCAGGCTGACACACAGCGACTGAGCCAGACTGACACACAGTGACTGAGCCAGTGATAGGCAGTGTGTACAGGACCTCACGGCAAAAAACAATAACGTGACTGCTGTTACCTTCAGCACTTTAATCTGGGTGGGATCTGTAGATCTGATGTAGAAACTCTTCAGGTGAGGCTCGAACATTCCCTGCAGATAAAACATCAACATTTAATCATAATAATAATAAATAATACTCCTGATCCTGACGCTTGTTTTCAAATGCCTTCATGCCCTGCCACCTCCCTACCTCTGACCTGCTCACCCCTCAACCCACAAATTGCTGCCTCCCTTTCGAATGGCTCCGGCCTCCTGCATGTCCCCCGTGCCCTCCGTTCCACCATTGGTGGGAGCGCTTTCAGCCACTACTCCCTGAAACTCTGGAACACTCTCCCTGTTCCAGAGGGGTGTGTGCATGTGTGTGTGTGTGTGTGGGGAAGGGGGGGGCTGTGTAAGGTGCTGAGTTACTGAGGGGAGCGGGGGAGACAGAGCAGTACTCACCCTCCGCTTGATGGACATGGTGGCCACGTTCTGCAGCACCACAAACTGCACCTCACTGGGGAACAAGAGAGCACGGTTAGCAATCAGGACCTCAGTCTCACCAGCCCATGCCCGGTCACAAGAGCTGCCTCTTCCTCATCAATAGGCCAGCGGTCAGCAAAACACCTCAGTCGTTAATAATAATCCTTGCATTTGACATAGAAGTCTCAAAGCGCTTCATGAAAATAATGTAAAGTGAATCGACTGTATATTTTGTGGGCAAAACTCAGTAGCCAATTCCACACAGCAGCGTCCCACAAACGGTTGTGGATTGAGTGACCAAATTTGTTTTGTTTTTTTGAAGGGATTATTACTCCGAAAAATAATCCGCCAATCAACTAACGACCAGGTTCCTACTTACTGCAGGTAAACAGAGGCGTGGGGAGTAAGGAAACTTGCCCAATGTTTCGCTCTGCCCAGGAATCGAACCCAGGTCCTCGCTTGCGAGGCAAGTGCTCTTAACCACTGAGCTACAGGACTCCAATTCATGTCACACGCTTTTAAAACCATCATCTGATCACGAACAACGTAACTCCTCAGGGCTGACCCTAGGACTGACACTGTCCTTATAATATAATAATAATATCAGCTTACTAATTCATAATAACAATGAAAAATGTGAACCTCCTGTAAAATGTAGCTCTTTTAGGAAGTTCAAACATATTAATAATAATAATAATAATAATCCTTGCATTTGATATAGCGCTTTTCACGTCGGGAGGACGTCCCAAAGCGCTTCACAGAACACACTGTAAAGCGAAATGACTGTATATTTGTGGGCGAACGCGGCAGCCAATTGCGCACAGCAATGTCCCACAAACAGTCGTAGATTGAAAATGACCAATTTATTATTGTTTTGTTTTTGGAGGGAATATTATTAGGCTCTGTGTGGAGTAAGGAAACTTGCCCAAGGTTTTGCCCTCTGCCTGGAATTGAACTCAGGTCTCTCACTTGCAAAGCGAGTGCTCTAACCACCTAGCTACAGGTTAAGAAAAGTAACACCCGGTCATATGTAACATGGTAGTGTCATTGGTCTGGACAACCCAACACTGAAACCACTGTAATAACAACAACAAGATTACACTTGTATAGCGCCTTTCACATGGCGAGGACGTCCCAAAGCGCTGGACAGTGACAGCATTTCAGTCCCGAGCTGGGGGTTGGGGGGGAGAAGGGAGGGGAGGGGAAGGGGGGGTGACCGATGTCATGGTCGAAGAGGAGGGTCTTGAGGCGGGACTTGAAGGAGGCTAAGGAGGGGGCGAGGTGGAGTGATTGGGGGATGGAATTCCAGAGGTTGGGGGCAGAGTGGCTGAAGGCTCTCCCACCAATGGTGGGGCGGGTGGGTCGGGGGATGTGGAGCAGCCGGAGCCAGCTGAGCGGAGGGACCGGGCAGGTTGGTAGGGGGTTAGGAGGTCACAGAGGTAGGGTGGGGTGAGACCATGGAGGGCTTTACTGTAAAGTGAATTGACTATATATTTTGCGGGCGAAACGCAGCAGCCAATTCCACACAGCAGCGTCCCAGCAACAGTCGTGGATTGAGTGACCAAATTTGTTTTGTTTTTTTGAAGGGATTATTCTTGAACTGGATCCTCTGAAGGATAGGGAGCCAATGGAGTCGGGCGAGAGTGGGGGAGATGGGATCACGGAGTTTGGTGCGGGAGAGGACACGGGCTGCAGAGTTCTGGATTATCTGCAGCTGTGGAGGGAGGAGTTGGGAAGGCCGACAAGCAGAGGGTTTGCATAGTCGAGCCTGGAGGTGATGAAGGCGTGAACAAGAGTTTCAGCGCCTGAGGGGTGAGGTAGTAGCGGAGTCGGGTGATGTTACGGAGGTGAGGGAAGGCAGAGCGGGTCATGGCTTAAATGTGGGGAGAAGACAGTTGAGGATCTAACAAGACATCTCGGTTCCCGACTGGTTGGTGAGTTGTGGTGTGTAACCATGGAGGTTGATGTTGCCAGAGCCTGAGGTGCGGAGGCGCTGGTGTGAGCCAATCAGGAAGGCCTCAGTCTTGTTCACATTCAACTGAAGGAAATTTGCTCTCATCCAGGACTTGATATCCAACAGACAGTCTGTCAGGACAGCAGTGGCCCTGGAGTTGAGGGTGAGGGCAGACAGACAGTCTGTCAGGACAGCAGTGGCCCTGGAGTTGAGGGTGAGGGCAGACAGACAGTCTGTCAGGACAGCAGTGGTCCTGGAGTTGAGGGTGAGGGCAGACAGACAGTCTGTCAGGACAGCAGTGGCCCTGGAGTTGAGGGTGAGGGCAGACAGACAGTCTGTCAGGACAGCAGTGGCCCTGGAGTTGAGGGTGAGGCAGAAAGGTAGAGTTGGGTGTCATTCGCATACATGTGGCAGTTGACCCCATGTCTGCGGATGATGTCACGAGGGGGAGTGTGTAGATATTAAAGAGACAAGGTCCGAGCCCTGGGGGACACCAGATGTGACAGTGCGGAGATGGAGGAGAAACCGTTAGAGGCAACAAAGTGGAGACGGTGAGAGAGATAGGAATCGAACCAGGCAAGGGCAGGTCCGTGAAGATTGAGTAAAGAGGAGAGGCGGTGTATGAGGATGGAGTGGTCGACAGCGTCGAAGGCGGCAGAGAGGTCGAGGAGGACAAGGAGGCAGAAGGAGCCGTCACAGATGTTCAGAATGTCATTAGTGACTGTGACCGGGGCTGTTTCCGTGCCGTGGGTAGCGCGGATCCGGATTGGAAGGGTTCAAAGAGTAATAACATTATATCAATAATTAATTATAATAATCCTTATATTTGATACAGCGCCCTTTACGTCAGGAGGATATCTCAAAGCGCTTTACTTCACAGAATTTACAGTAAAGTAGGCAAACGCATCAGCCAATTTGCACACAGCAGTATCCCACAAACAGCCACGAAAGTGAGTGACCAGTTTTATTTGGGGGATTGTTGACCAGGACACTGGGAGAGAGAAACTCTCTTCTCTTTTCGAATAGCGCCGCGGGATCTTTAACATCCACCTGAAAGTCTCCAACAATGTGACACCCCCCAGCACTGCATTGGAGCGACAGCTTAGACTTTGAGATTCCCAGTCCTGGCTTGGCTGGTTCCTGTAGCTGGGTTTGGCTGTGTATAAGCTGCCTGTGGCCTGAGTGAGGTTACCTGTGGCTGCGGAGGAGGCGTACCAGCGCCTTGGCAATGACGCCCACCTCAGCCTTCGGTGCCAGGTGGAAATACAGCTGTGCCACCGCCATCACCACCTGCCGAGCAAAGACAACAACAACAAGAAGTTACATTTACATGGCGCCTCTCACATTGGGAGGACGTACTAAGGTGCTAGACAGTCAGGGCTTTGGACCCGAGCTGGGGCTGGGATCAGGGAGTGTTGGAGGGCAGGGAGGGTCAGGGTAGGAAGGTGGCCGTAGGCGCGGTCGAAGAGGAGGGCCTTGAGACGGGCCTTTTAGAAGTTATGGGACGAGCGAGTTGAGGGGACTGTGGAATGGAGTTCCAAAGACAAGGTTAGAATCAGGCAACATGGAGCCCAGCTCAGTGCCCGCCTCACACAGGCCTGGCTCGGACTCGGGACCGGGCTGGGAATCTCTGGGTAGCAACAAACCGTTGCTTATGAGTCTCCAAACCAAGGGCAGTAGAGGATGGTTGAGGGCTTGGTGGAGGAGAGGGGGATGTGAGAGGAGAAGGAGATGAGGAAGTGGTCCGAGATGGCCTTGTCCACTGAGATCGGAAATGTCAAGTCCGTGGGTGATAACAAGGTCAAGGCCATGACCACGGTTGTGGGTAGGTTAATTTATATGAAGGGTGAGGTTTAAGGAGGAGGAGGGCAGTGAATTCGGCAGAAGTGGTGCAGGGGAAGTTTAGATATGGGTTGAAATCGCCCATTATGAGCAGGCGCTCGGAGCAGAGGGACAGGGAAGAGAGGAGAGTAGAGGTGTCTGTGCGGAAGGAGCCGGGAGGCTTAGGGGGGGCGGTAGACAAGGAGCTGACTGCACCGAGTGAATGTTTGTCACTCACTGCAGCATTCCTGCTCTGTAACAGAGGCTTGGTGTTACGGAGGAGCAGGCGGTGGTCGGGGTCCATGATGTACGGCTTCCGTTTGGGAAGGACCGCGCTGTCCGCCTTCTCATCCTTTGAATCTTCCTCATCGGAGCCATAAAAGGCTTTGTCGGCATTTTCCTCCAGTAAAGATTCCTGTTACCACACCACACGTTAGTGACTGGCGCTCACGCGCACACACACACAATCAGTGACTGACTGACACACACACAGACACACAGTGAGTGACAACAACAACAACAAGATTCCATTTATAGAGCGCCTTTCACGTCGGGAGGACGTCCCAAGGCGCTGGACAGTTGGGTCAGGACCCGAGCAGTGGGGAAATGGTCAGGGTGAGGGGAGGGAAGGGAGGGAGCGAGGAGGGGGAAATGGTCAGGGTGAGGGGAGGGAAGGGAGGGAGCGAGGAGGGGGTAGAGAGTCGAGAGTGGAGCTGAAGGCTGAAGGTCAAAGAGAAAGGTCTTGAGACCGGCCTTGAAGGAGGAAAGGGAGGAAGCGGCGAAGGCACCGGCACACACATAACACACACACAGTCAGTGACTGGCACACATACACACACACACAGTGACTGGCACACACATACACAGTGACTGGCACACACATAGTGACTGGCACACATACACACACACAGTGACTGGCACACACATACACACACAGTGACTGGCACACATACACACACAGTGACTGGCACACACATACACACACAGTGACTGGCACACACACATACACACAGTGACTGGCACACATACACACACACAGTGACTGGCACACATACACACACACAGTGACTGGCACACACACACACACAGTGACTGGCACACATACACACACAGTGACTGGCACACACACGCACACACACACAGTGACTGGCACACACACACACACACACACACACACACAGTGACTGGCACACACACACACACACACACACACAGTGACTGGCACACACACACACACAGTGACTGGCACACACATACACACACACAGTGACTGGCACACACATACACACACACAGTGACTGGCACACACACACACACACACACACACAGTGACTGGCACACACACACACACACACACACACACACAGTGTCTGGCACACACATACACACACACAGTGACTGACACACACACACACACACACAGTGACTGGCACACACACACACACACAGTGACTGGCACACACACACACACACACAGTGACTGGCACACACACACACACACACACAGTGACTGGCACACACACACACACACAGTGACTGGCACACACACACCACACACACACACACACAGTGACTGGCACACACACACACACACAGTGACTGGCACACACACACACACACAGTGACTGGCACACACACACACACCGTGACTGGCACACACACACACACACAGTGACTGGCACACACACACAGTGACTGGCACACACACACACACAGTGACTGGCACACACACACACACAGTGACTGGCACACACACACACACACACAGTGACTGGCACACACACACACACAGTGACTGGCACACACACACACACCGTGACTGGCACACACACACACAGTGACTGGCACACACACACACAGTGACTGGCACACACACACAGTGACTGGCAGACACAGACAAACACACACACAGTCAGTGACTGGATTTCACACACACGCGTGTCAGACGCTGGCCTGACAAAAACAAATAATCTAACAACAGAAGCTTCACACAGGGCAGTGTCTCAGAGCGCTGCACAGTGCTGGAGCCGGACTCTGAGATGGGGGAGCAAAACGGTCGAGGGAGGAAGGTCTGTGGGTGTGATCTGAAGACAGGGAAGGAGGGGATAAGGCGGAGGGATTCAGGCAGGGAGTTGCAGAGCTTCGGGGAGTAGTGGCTGAAAGCACGGCCACTGATGGTCGGGCGGTGGGGTCGAGGGACGTGCAGGAGACTGGAGGAGATTGTGGCAGGGAGAGGAGGTGGTGGGAGCACAGTGTGGTTGGTGAACACTTACGCTGTGGTTGGGGTTCAGGAACTGTGTCCGTGCATATCGCGTGAGCATGTTGATGATGACCACCTGCCCCCACTCCTCCACGTCTATCAGCAGGTTACACAGTTTGCGGTAGTTCTTGTGGATCAGATCGATCCTCTCTGGGCAAACCTCCTCAAAGGCCATCACCACACTCCCTGCCACCAACTGCACAGCCAGAGTCAGAGAGAGAGGGAGAGAAAGAGAGAGTGAGGGAGGGAGAGAGATCGGAACAAGAACACAGAGCGGAGTTACTTTCAAATGTGTGTCAGTCTGACTCAGTGGTAGGGCTCTGGCCTTTGAGTCAGAAGGCTGAGGTTCCAATGCAGCGCTAGGGACAGTGTTGTATTGTCAGAGGCTCTCTCCCTCTCTCTCTCGGTGTCCTGGCCAACAATCCCCCCAAATAAAATTGGTCATAATAATATAATCCTTGCACTTGATATAGCACCTTTTCACATCTTCGAGACATCTGAAAGGGCTTCACAGAATATACTGTACCAGGGATGAGGGACTTCAGTTTATGTGGAGAGATTAGAGAAGTTGGGATTGTTCTCCTTTAAGCAGAGAAGGTTGAGGGGAGATTTAATAGAGGTGGTCAAAATTATGAGGCGTTTTGATAGAGTAGATCGGGAGAAACTGTTTCTCCTGGCAGGTGGGTCGGTAACCAGAGGACACAGATTTAAGATAATTTGCCAAAGAACCAGAGGAGAGATGAGAATTTTTTTTATCCAGAGAGTTGTCATGGCCTGGAATGCGCTGCCTGAAAGCGTGGGAACAGATTCAAGACCAACTTTCAAAAGGAAATTGGAGAGGAACTTGAAGAGGAAACATTTGCAAGGATTTGGGGAAAGAGTGGGGGAGTGGGGCTGATTGGGTCACTCTTCCACAGGCACGATGGGCCGAATGGCCTCCTTCTGTACTGTGATATTCTATGATTTTATATATTTCAGCCAGTGAGAGTATACCTGAAGTGCTAATGTAATAATAATAATAATCCTGGCAATTGATACAGCACTTTATCAAGTCTTTGAGACGACTCAAAGCACTTCATAGAATATACTATAAAGTGAATTGATTGTATATTTTGTGGGTGAAACGCGGCAGCCAATTACGCACAGCAGTGTCCCACAAACAGCCATGGATTGAAGTGACCAATTTATTAATTTTTTTGAAGGCATTATTGCCTCCAGAAAAGCGCCAATCAACTAACAACCGGGTTCCTACTTACTGACAGAGGCGGGTGAAGTAAGGAAACTTGCCCAACATTTCGCCCTGTCCGGGAATCAAACGCAGGTCCTCTCGTTTGTGAGGCGAGTGCTCTAACCACTGAGCTATAGGGCCCACGATCACTCACTCCATTGCTGTTTGTGGGACACTGCTGTGCGTAATTGGCTGCCACGTTTGGCTCATGAAACACAAATTCACTGTACTTTACAGTATATTCTGAGGAGCGCTTAGGGATACCCTCCCAATATGAAAGGTGCTGCAGCAAATGAAAGGAATATTATTATTAATATTAAGTCCGTTTTACACTTTAAAAGTGGAAGCAGGCAACAACTGATTGTCTCCCTGTTTGTGTTACACAGGAGCGAGAGAGATACAATACAAAATGACATTTGTATAGTCTTTCAAGTCAGGAGGACTTCCCAAGGTGTGGAGGATAGGGGTAAGAGAGTGGTCAAAAGCATGGTCGAAGAGGAGGGTCTTGAGAATGCCAGGAGAATGCTTGAGAATGCAGATTAATGAATAAAAATATGAATTTGGTCACTTCAATCCACGACCGTTTGTGGGACTCTGCTGTGCACAATTGACTGCTGCCTTTCACCCACAAATATAGTCGATTCACTTTACAGCATATTCTGTGAAGCGCAGTGAGACGTCTCAAAGACGTGATAAGGTGCTGTATCAGATGCAAGGATTATTATTATATTGGGTTTTGTGAACATATATATTTATTTGGAGAATATTATATATTTAGTACAACACAAAACACAACATCTCCCCTTACATTACGCAATCTGGATCCAGATGCAAACATTATCTGTTACTTGTTACATGGTGTTGGTGGGGTCGTTCTTCTACACGGTGAGCGGCCCCTGATGTCGGCCGGTGGGTTGGGTTTAGCGCTGCTGTCGGCGCGGCCAGGGTAGGAGCGGCTCCGGTTGGGGTCAGGCCCCCTCTGTCGGTTGCCGCGGCTGTGCCAAGCTCCAGCGCGTCCTGAAGCGCGTAGTCCCTGCTGGTGGAGCGGAGCAGAGAGTGCGAGCCTGCAGCCGGCCCTCTCTGACAATGTGCTGCGCGGGTACACCAACTGGTTTCACTGAGCTGATGATCCTCCAGGCGCACTCGATGGCGGTCTTGCCGTGCGTCCCCGGGAAGAGGCCGTACAGCACCGAGTGCCGTGACAGCAGGTCCCCGGGGAAGAACCGCGCCAGCAGCCATTCTGTCTGTTCCTAGATGGCCTTGCACTCCAGGAGGAGCTGCTCCACAGTCTCCTCACCTCCCCTTCCGTCCTGAGGGCAGCAAGTGGTGGCAGCGAGGCCCAGGCTGTGCAAGAAAGACCTGACGTAGAGCGTCATATTTATGACGCTGATGCCAGACCGCATCCGGATGTTGGTGGTTGGACAAGGCCGGTGACGAGTCTGACAGTCGCCCTAGGGTGCCCCCCTATCAGGTCCGTCACCTCCACCTCTATGACGGTCTATTGTTAAGAGGGTGGCAGGCAGGCAGGACACACTGCGGGTGAGATGGTGTGGCAATGAATGGTTAAAATGCGTTCCTTAGTAAATGGAAACGTGATTGTTCTCGGAGTGTAATCTTGTGTCACTTCCACTTCCACGTAACAAACAGGAGGCAGGAACAGCAGTTTACTCGTTGTTTACAGTCAAAACCTTGTGACAGAGCAGAGCCGTCTAAACATCTGTATTGATATGACTGGTCAGAGCTCGCCTTCTGCTCTGTTGCCCCTTATGTTATAATAATAATCCTGGCATTTGATACAGCACCTCATCACGTCTTCGAGACGTCTCAAAGAGCTTCACAGGATACACTGTAAAGTGAATTGACTATGTTTTGTGGGCGAAACTTGGCAGCCAGTTGCAGACAACAGTGTTCCGCACAAACAGTCGTGGATTTGAGGGACCAATTTTTTTTGGTTATCTCATGAAAATAGCAATTGTGGTTCCAGCTGCACGGAATTCCTATTGACACAGCAGAGGTAAAGGCAGTAAAGCAGAGAGTATGGTTGCGACAGGATTGTGTTCCCTTTCCCCTACACAATAACTGCTGCGTACGTGAAGGCTGAGGAGATAATAATATATAATATAATCTGGTGCACTCCTGAGAAGCCGCCCGACATGAAGGGTGCTATATGTTGTCAATAATAATCCTTGTAGTTGATTTAGCTGCACAGAAGTGGGCCATTTGGCCTATCGTGTCTGTACCAGCTCTTTGAAATAGTTACCCAAATAGTCCCACTCCCCTGCTCTTATCCCATAGGCCTCCATTTTTTTTCTTTAAGTACCTATCCAATTCCCTTTTTAAAGCTATTGTCAAATCAAGGCTCCCACCACCCTTTCGGGCAGTGCATTCCAATTGTGTCCCATTCTGGCCACCACACTTCAGGAAGGATGTCAAGGCCTTGAAGAGGGTGCAGAGGAGATTTACCAGGATGGTACCAGGGATGAGGGATTTAAGTTATGTGGCGATTGTTCTCCTAAGAGCAGAGAAGGTTGAGGGGAGATTTGATAGAGGTGGTCAAAATTATGAGGCGTTTTGATAAGAGTAGATCGTGAGAAACTGTTTCCTCTGGCCGGTGGGTCTAATGTGTCAGGTTGTTCCAAATTTCCAAATTGAGGAAAACAAATTCTCATTGTTAGTTAAACAGCGCATTTTATAAACTTTTTTTTAATTATTTTGAACGACAGGAAGAATATTGTCCAACTTGTAATGCTCCTGGTCGTGGGTCCACCCAACATGTGACATTAGTGGTACTGTACGCACAGGTGGAGAGAGGTATCTCGGGTGGAGGTGGGGGTGGGGTGCGTGCGGGCTCAGCTCTGGCTTACCGTAGTTTTGTCAGCCAACAGCTTCTCAATCACCTCAATTAGCTGGTCCTTTTGGTCTTGGTCCAAACTATAATACAGAGAGGTCATGGGTCAGAGGGGCAGGTTACTGTAACAGGCTTATTCCCAGTCAGTCACACAGTTACACACACACACTGGGCTGGCCAGGCCTCCAGGGGAGTGTTGACGGTGAAGCCACTCATAGACAATGAAAACTGCACACTTTCCCTACCTCTGCGACCTACCCTCCCCACTCCCCCACCCGCTGCCTCCGCTCGGCTGGCTCTGGGCTTCTGTTTGTCCCTCGTAACCTCCACTCCACCATTGGTAGCCGTGCCTTCAGCCACTGCGCCCCGAAACCCTGTCACTCTCTCCCTCAATCCCTCCGCCTTCCTCCTCCCTCCCCACCTTCAAGTCCCACCTAAAGATCTTCCTTTTTGATCGTGCTTACGGTCACCTCCCCCCCTCCCTCTCCCCCGGCTCAGGGTCAGACCCTGCGGCTGTGAAGCGCTCCAGGACACTACCCATGTGAAGGGCGCTGTGTATAATGCAAGTTGTTGTTGGCTAATCACTGTCTCAGTACTCCTTGCGAGGAGGAGGGGCGGGCTCTGAGGGGGAGGGGCGGGGTGTGAGAGGGAGGGGCGGGGTGTGATTGGGAGGGGCGGGGTGTGATTGGGAGGGGCGGGGTGTGAGGGGAAGGGGCGGGGTGTGAGGAGGAGAGGCGGGCTCTGAGGGTGAGGGGCGGGCTCTGAGGGGGAGGGGCGGGGTGTGAGGGGGAGGGGCGGGGTGTGAGGGGGAGGGGCGGGGTGTGAGGAGTTATTACAAGCATTACGGGAAGCGTGAATGGCGCTGAATAAAAGTTGTTCGATCAAACTCCTCTCCCCCCCCCCCCCCGACCTCCACCCTCCCCGATCCTGACCCTCAGCTCAGGTCCTAACACTGACTGCCCGGTGCCTTGGGACATCCTCCCCACGTAAAAGGCGCTTTACAAATATAATTTTTTATTAATATTAAATATTATTGTTGTTTACCTGTACAGTTTGGGGATGGCGTGGGCAGCAGTTTTCCTGACGTAGGGTGACATGTCAGAGGCGGCCTCCTTTATGGCCAGCATCATGATAGGGACGATGATAGGCACACGGATGCTGGAGAGGACACGGAGCGCACTCGCTCGGATCAGCTGGTTTGGGTCCTGTAAAAACCAAAGCAACAAAGACACCAGGTTTACAGACATCAACAACAACTTTTGACAGCGCCCCTCACTCACCCAGAGCGCTTGACAACGGCGGAGTACGACCCGAGCCGGGGGTGGAGGGAGAATGACCAGAGGCACAGTTGAAAAGGAAGGTCTTCAGGCGCGACCTGAAGATGAGGAAGGAGGGGGCAAGGCAGAGGGATTCAGGGAGAGTGTTCCAGAGTTTCGGGGCGTCGTGGCTGAAATGGTGGAACGGAGGAGACGAGGGACATGCAGGAGGCTGTTCATATCAGCAATGGACCTGCTTTGTTTAGCCCTTGACTTAGTTAGTTGAACCATTACATTGACCTGTTCCATGTCCCTCACCCTGTCCTCCCCACCATCGGCCATCAGGCCTTTGTACCCCCATCCTCTGGAATTCCATCCCAGACCTCCTTTGCCTCACCTGCTCGCTTACCTCTTTCAAGGTCCTTCTCAAGATCCTCCTCTTTGACCGTGCCTTCGGTCATCCTCCTATCTCTATCCCTCCTTGCCCCCCCCACCCCTCTTTTGACTCCAACCCGCAGCTCTGGTGCAAACCCTTCACTGTCCAGCGCCTTGGGTCGGTCTCCTGATGTGAAAGACGCTGTGTAAATGCAATTTTTTGTTGTAGTAGTGCAGTGACAATGCAATGATTAATTAAATTCCAGCTCAGTGTTTGCTAGTTCTCCACCATAGGATCAGGAGCCCATTCAGCCCCTCGAGCCTGTTCTGACATTCCATAAGATCATGGCTGACCTGCACCTCAACTCCAATTACCTGCCCTTGGCCCGTATCCCTTAATACCCTGAACAAACAGAAATCTATCCACCTCAGTCTTGAAAATTTGAACCATTCCATTAGATCTTATTTAGCATCTCTGAGAAGGTTGAATAAATCAGAATAATAACATGTTTGATGCAGCGCCTTATCACGTCACTGAGACATCTCAAAGCCCTTCACAGGATATACTGTAAAGTACAATGATTGTGCATTGGTGGGTGAACAGAGTCATTTACACACAGCAGTTCAGAAACAGCCATAAAGTGAATGATTTTATTTGGGGGATTGTTGGCCAGGACACCGAGAGAGGGAGAAACTCCCATCTCTTTATGAATAGCGACATGGAAACTTTAAGGTCCACCTGAACAGGCAGATGGGCCTCAGTTTAGCGTTTCAACTGAAGAATGGGACCTCTGATAATGGATCAGCTGATCAACACTCACCGAGTCTAGAACGTGAGCTGGAAGTCCCCACAACCTTCTGACCCAGGTCAGAGAGGTGCTACTGACAGCCAGGCTGTCACCCAGCTCATCAATAAATCAATTCTTCATTGCATTAAACAGCCATCTGTGTTTGCTGACCATCCTCAGCCACATCCTAACATTGTGAGGGAGCAGTTAGCATTCTGACCTTTAGCCCCCGCTGGAAGGTGCTGATGGAAAGTAGAGCCAAGTCCTGCTGTTCCTCAGCGTATCTCACCAGGTACACATACACCAGCTTCTTCACCTGTAACAGCACGACAATAATAAAATAATAGTAATCATAACAATAATCCTTGCATTTGATACAGCGCCTTATCACTTCTCAAAGCGCTTCACAGCATATACTGTAAAAGGGATTGCCTGTGTATTGTGTGGGCGCTCAATCCACGAACAGTTTTTGAAGGGATTATTACCCCAGGAAAGCGATCTGCCAATCGACTAACAACCAGGTTCCAACTTACTGCTGGGTAGACAACATGGCAGCTCTTCCTCAGCACTGAGCTGGTGGACACCCCCCCGAAATGGCCACCCCAACACCCACCCACACTGCCATATGGGACAGGGCTTTAGGTTCCTATACTAGCAGTGATCACACACCACTAAACTCTCCAGTCACTGGGGGCAGGGAATCCTCCCCCTCAATTCCTGTTAACCCCGCAGCCAAAGTCCTAACTAACAGGTAGGGCGGGCCCAGCTGGACAAGCAGCGGGAAAGCTTACCAGACAGCAATATCAATGGCAAGCTGTGTGGGTTTAGCTGGTTAGACTCCAGCCGTTACCCCAACGCACATTCTGGGGTCCCCCCCCAAGCCTTGGCTCTTGACAAGCTGCGCCTAATACTCTCTGGAATTAGGTAAACAGGATGTGTCCCTCCAGAGAAAGAGAGAGAGAGACAGAGAGAGAGAGCGCATTCCATTCCAACCATCTATCTCTGGGATTGCCATGTGTAGGTGGGAGGACTGGAATTCTCAGTTTGGTTTGGAGACTCTTAAACCTGGTGATAGGTTTCTGTGTGTGTCAGACACCCAGCTGGGGAAAAAAAAACTCCCGTCTCTGCTGGCGAATTACATCTCCCATTATGGGAATGTGTTAGCATCCAGAGGGACTCGGGTGTCCTTGTACACCAATCACGGAAAGTTATTCTGCAGGTGCAGCAGCAATTAGGAAGGCGAACGCTATGTTAGCATTCATTATGAAAGGATTAGAGTATCAGAGTAGGGAAGTCTTGTGCAACTGTATAGGGCCCTGGTGAGACCACACCTGGAATACTGTGTGCAGTTTTGGTCTCCTTATTTAAGGAAGGATGTACTTGCCTCGGAGGGAGTGCAGCGTAGATTTACTCGGTTAGTACCCGGGATGAAGGGGATGAGTTACGGGATAGGCTGACCAATTTGGGCCTATGTTCTCCAGAATATAGAAGAATTAGAGGGGATCTTATTGAAACCGATAAGATCATCAAAGGGCAATGATAGAGCAGATAGTGGGAGATTGTTTCCCCGGTTGGAGAAACTAAAACCAGGGGTCACAACCTTAAAATCAGAGGCAGCCCTTTCGCACTGAGTTGAGAAAGAACTTCTTCACTCAAAGGGCAGTGAATGTATGGAACTCACTACCCCAAAGGGCTGTTGACGCTCAGTCCTTGAACATATTCAAGACTGAGATAGATAGATTTCTTATTGAAAAAGGGATTAAGGGATATGAGGATAAGGCAACGTCAGCTGTATTAGCTGGAGTTAGATTAGAAGATCAGCCATGATTGAATGGCGGGGCAGGCTCGAAGGGCCGAATGGCCTCCTCCTGCATGTTATGTTACGTTAGCAAGAATGTTACAGAGAGAAGCTTAATGCTAATTTATAAACATTAATTTTCAAACTGCTCTGAAAACATGATGGAAATTTTTTTTTACAGGACGGTTAGTTATCCATTCTCTTGTGGTGGGATTACTAGCCCTGAGACCCTGGGCTCCACTTTCTGCTGTGTACACAGGGACAACAACAACAACAAAATTACATGTGTAAAGCGCCTTTTACGTTGGGAGGATGTCCCAAGGCGCTGGACACAGAATTTCGGACCCGAGCTGGGGGTCAGAGAGAGTGGGGGGTGGGGAACAAGGACTGTTTATAGCCTGTGGAAACAGCCTGCTGTCAGACAACACAATACTGAGCTGGCACCTTCACGCTCTGTGGCACACACCATCATATGGTGCCTTTGTCCATTGAACCATCAGGGAAAAAGAAAGCCTGCCTTCCTTTTCCTAATGTGCAACAAAGTTTGCTGGTGACAGATGCAGACAGGAGGCACAGAGTAATAAAGATTACATCAAAGACCTGTGATGCATATCTCACTCACACTAACCTTATCAGCTCTTAATAACACTCTTAATAACCTTCGTCTCTTGATATCATTCTGTGTCAGTGCTCACTTACATTGGTGAGCTATGGGGAGGGATGGAGGGACATGGGGGTGTGGAGGGGTGTCCTAATTGACTGTTCTGTAGATTCCCTGGCTAACGGTTTGTGTGTGAGTGTGTGTGTATGTGGGTGTCAGTGCGTATGTGAATGCGTATGTGTATGTGTGCGAGTTTGTGTGTGTACTGGGGAAGGAAGAACACACTCACCTCGATGTTTTTACAGGCGACGTTTTTCACAACTGCGGGGAAGAGGTCAGAGGTGTTCTTGCCTCTGGCGATCATCTGCACAGAGAAAAAACACAATCTTTGACGCTAATTGTCGAGCGATGGCGATGCGACGTGTCACAGATTAACTCGTCCGGTCACGTTACTAAACTACGTGGACAATTGTGTTTGAAGAGGATTCAGGAAGACAGTCAATTAATTAATAATACTTGCACGTTTCATGTCGGGAAGACGTCGCAAGGCGCTAGACAGTCAGGGATTTGAACCTGAGCCGGGTCGGGGGGTTTGGGGTAAGGGAGGGTGGCCGAAGGCATGGTCGAAGAGGAGGGTCTTGAGACCTGCCTTGAAGGAGACAAGGGAGGGAGCAAAGCTAAGGGAATGTGGGATGGGGTTCCATAGGGTGGAGGCAGAGAAGCTAAAGGCCCAACTGCCAATAGTGGGGTGAGCCAGGCGGGGAACATGGAGTAGGACAGCGCCTGCTGAGTAGAGGGAGCGAACAGGTTGATATGGGGCCAGCAGGTCACAGAGATAGGAAGGGGCAAGGCCGTGGAGAGTCTTGAAGTTGAGAACAAGTATTTTGAACTCTATCCTCTGTGGGATGGAGAGCCAGTGGAGCCGGGTGAGTGTGGGGGTGATGGGGGCACGGAGCCTGGTGCGGGACAGGTCACGAGCTGCAGAGTCCTGCATAATCTGCAGCTTGTGGAGGGAAGATTTGGGGAGGCCGACAAGGAGGGAGCTGGCGTAGTCGAGTCTGGATGTGAGGAATGGATGAGGGTCTAGGTGGCCTGAGGGGCGAGGCAGTGGTGGAGCCGGGTGATATGACGGTGGAGGAAAGCAGAACAGCATTTTACTGGAGTGTGAGCTTAGACTGTGAGATCAAAGTCCTGACGTGGGGATTCAGATCAGCCACAGCCTTCTGATCAATCAGCACCGGGATTACAAACAATCTCTGGCATTCTGTCAGCTCGAGATTCTGAGAAGTGAGTAAGTGAGTGAGGGGGAAAGAGTGAGTGAGTGAGTGTGTGCGTGTGAGTATGTATCAGTGGATGAGTGAGTGAAGGGGACTGAGTGAGTGAAGGGGACTGAGTGAGTGAAGGGGACTGAGCGAGTGAGAGGAAATGAGCGAATGAGATGGAATGAGCGAGCGAGCGAATACGTATGAGTGGATGAGTGAGTGAAGGGGACTAAGTGAGTGAGCGGGCGTGAGGGGGAGTGAATAAGCGAATGTACGTGTGAGTGAGTGTACGTATGAGTGAGTGAGGCTGAGTGAGTGAGGCGGAGTGAGTGTACACGTGAATGAGGGGGAGTGAGTGAGTACGTGTGAGTGACTGAATGTGGGTGTATGAATGCGTGAGTGTGCGAGTGAGTATGCGTGTGAGTGAGTGTGCGTGTGAGTAACTGAGTGAGTATGCGTGTGAGTGAATGACTGAGTGAATGTCCGTGTGAATGAGTGAGTGAGTGCGAATGAGCGAATCATCAGAACATCCACCAAACATGCTTCTCAATGTCTGAAGCTGCGAGGCAGAGAGTGGGGGAAAGTGGAAGAAAGTGCAGGAAATCGGAAGCTGGGATTTGGGATCTTTCAACTGTATTACACGTCATGTTTCACTGCAATCCTTTCTATCCAGACTACCAAGAGCCTTAAATGCCATTAGTGTTCCCTGACTGCAATCCAAATATGTGCCAGCATCTCTATGTGTATAGAATTATAAAATATTACAGCACAGAAGGAGGCCATTCGGCCCATCGTGCCTGTGGCGGCTGTTTGGAAGAGCGACCCAATCAGTCCCACTCCCCCGCTCTTTCCCCAAATCCTTGCAAGTTTTTCCTCTTCAAGTTCCTCTCCAATTCCATTTCGAAAGTCGTTATTGAATCTGTTTCCACCCTTTCAGGCAGCGTATTCCATATCCTAACAGAATGTAAGCTGTTCCTTCCTGCCCAAAGAGGCTCTCTTCAAAGCCAGACAAACAAGGAGAGACCATGAAGATTGACAATGAGGTCGAACATCTGTGAAGATCGCTAAACATACTGTAGTCCCGTCTTTCGCCAAGTCTTTCTAAAGGAATTTAGTGGAAACATTTATAATTCAGTGTAAATAATTGAGGGGAAGCAGCCATGCAGCCTGATATCCACACCCGGCATTAATATTTCACAGCTCCTTGCTCTTTCCATGGCCCCTTTACTGCCCTATCTTTAATTCTTACTCTATCGCACGTTTGCCCTGATAACCAGTGATTCCCCCCCTCCCACCCTTCCCCTCTAACACACACACAAGAACAGGAACAAAGAGACATTTAAGGTGAGATTTGGATCTCTCTACATCAGTGTTGCCCAACTGGCGGCCCCAGGGCCACATCCGGCCCAGCGGGTCATTTTATCCAGCCCGAGACCATTTTCAACATTCCAACTTGTGCTCCCTCCTTCCCTGGTGAACGTCTTCCCAGGGCAGCGGCAGGAGCCGGAGGTTGGGAGGATGCAGCGAGCAGAGCCTTCACTGCAGTCTGTCAGGAAGGCAAACGCTTCTCTTACCAACTACATCCTTAATGACCAACCACTGGCTCCTGCCGCTGCCGATAGTAATTGCCCCACGGCTGATTGGGAGAGAGAGATTGGGAGTATAGTGCTCGCAGCGGGGGGGGGGGGGGGGGCTATACTGTCGGACCTATATTGTGTGAGGTGATGTGCTTCAGATGAGACATTAAACCAAGACCCTGTCTGCCTGTTCTGGTGGATGGTAAAGATCTCACAGTGCTGTTCAAAAAGAGAAGGGGGTTCTCTCTCTCTCTCCTGGCCAACAATCCCCCAAATAAAATTGATCCATCACTCCGTGAGCACTCACTCCGTGGGACACTGCTGTGTTCACCTACGATCACAGAGTCACTGCACTTTACAGTAAATACTGTGACATGCTTTGAGACATCTTGACGAGGTGTTAAGGCGCTGTATGTATCAAATGCAAAACCTCTGTTTATATTGTGTCATATTCTGCTGCTGATCACAACTCGCAAACCCAACATGAACTGTGAGAAGATCCTATATAATAATAATAATCCTTGCATTTGATACAATGCCTTATCGTGTCTTCGAGACGTCTCAAAGGGCTTCACAGAATATACAGTGAAGTGAATTTGGGGGCAAAATATAAAGGGAATATTGAATGTCATTAATTGGACTCTATTAGAGTAGGATCTACAGGTTGTCCAAAACATTGTGATACCAATACAATGTCTAATAAGCCTTAAAGAGATGATCATAGCTATATATTTAGATAATAAGGTAGGTATCACGACTTTTTGGTCACTTTGTATCTGGAATCTGATTTGGGTCAGTTTTAGTGTAGTAACAGCTGATCATTAGTGACCTCATGACCTCTCGTCTGCACCAAACTCACCGCCACAATCCTCTTCATGGCCTCCAGCTTCAGCGAGTCCTTGTTGCTGTCCAGCATCTCCTTCAGGTCATCGTGTCTGTGAACAGCAAAGCTCAGTGTCAGTGAGTGCACCTCACTGTCTGAGATACCCACAGGGCAGCCCCTGGCCTGACCTGGCCTGTGACCCATAGCATCAGGTCCCCACTCACAGGGTCTCAAACCCTCCTGATGCTCTCAGGCTCCTGACCACGAGAAGGTGTGTGTGTGTGGGGGGGGGGGGGGGGGGGGGAGGGTGTGGGGCGACATGAATAATAATACCAACCTGTCTGCTCTCTCCACGCGGCAGGCACTGGCCTGCTCCGTGCCCCCTGCCCTACCCACCTCACTATGGGTGGTCGGGTCTTCAGCCTCTCTGCCCTCACCCTCTGGAACTCCATCCCTGAATCCCTCTGCTTCGCCCCCTCCATTGTCTCCTTCAAGTCCCGTCTCAAGACCCACCTCCTCGACCGTGCCTTTGGTCGTCTTCCCACTTCCACTGGTCCTGATCCCAACCCCCAGTTCAGGTGCAAACCCATAATCGTCCAACCCCTTGGGACATCCTTCCGATGTGAAAGGCGCTGTGTAAATGTAATTTGTTTGGAATTTGATAAAGCACCTTATCACATCGCTGAGACATCTCAAAGCGCTTCACAGGAATTAATTCTCTTTCTGCTAATACTGTCCTTCCTACGGGATCAATGAGGGGTTTGAGGTAGAATGAAAGTCACTAAAGTCATTCAGGTAACCAGGTGGGAGGCAAAGCTTCTGGACAGGTAATTAACACCAGCACAGATGAATGGCATATATTTAATAATTTAGCAAATGCAAATTGGTGCTAAAAGCAAATCGGCATGTGATAATCAGGGCGTTCTTCACAAACTCAGCCAATCTGAGCCATATTCTTGGCTGAGAACAAAAAAAATCTTTGTGATATCTGTATAATTATCTGTTTTTATTTTTTTTTAATTCAGTGTTAACGGATTCCCATTAAAATCCCTGGCAACCCAGCACACACTTGACAGTGACTCACGCCTCACACACCCACACGGTGACAAATGTAGAGCAAAAGTGTTAAAGACACAAACAGCTGCTTCAATTCCTAAACCAACCACATGTAGGGAAATACCTCCCTCGTGAGTGAGGGGGGGTCGTTGCTGACAGCACAGGCTGGGTCACTACAACAGTCCTTAGTACGTAAGGAAGACACCTGAAAAGTAACTAGCATTTCCACAACAAATCCCCGATCAGCCTTTTGTTCCAGACAACAGCAGAGACACACAACACCAAACCGTCAATTTATAGAATATTACTGAGCAGGTCAGGAACCTTGGCGTCTTATTTGACCCTCAACTGTCCTTTCTCCCCCACATCCGTGCCATGATCCGCTCTGCCTTCCCCCGCCTCCGCGACATCACCCGGCTCTGACACTGCCTAACCCCTCAGGCCTCCGAGACCCTCATCCACGCGTTCATCACAACTAGGCTTGCCTACACCAACTCCCTGCTTGTCGGCCTCCCCAAATCTTCCCTCCACAAGCTGCAGATCATCCAGAATTCTGCAGCTTGTGTCCTCTCCCGTACCAGACTCCATGACCCCATCACCCCCACCCTCGCCCAGCCACCCTCCTACCCTCCCTTACTCCAATCTCCTCCTTGCTCGGGTCCTAATACCTGACTGTCCAGCGCCTTGGGACATCCTCCCAACGTAATAGGTGCTATATAAGTGTAATTTTGTATTGTATTAAAGCACAGAAGGAGGCCATTCAGCCCATCGTGCCTGTGCTGGCTCTTTGGAAGAGCTACTCAATCAGTCCCACTCCCCGCTCTTTCCCAAAATCCTTGGGAAAGCTATCCAATTCCCTTTTGAAAGTTGGTATTGATTCTGTTTCCAGCCTTTCAGTCAGCGCATTCCAGACCGTGACAACTCTCTGGGTAAAATAATTCTCCTCCCCTCCCCTCTGGTTCTTTTGCCAAATACCTTAAATTTATATCCCCTGGTTACTGACCCACCTGCTAATTTCACCACAAATAACCTTGTGAATCAAAGCCCTTCACAAGGCTTATTGTAAAGTGCAGTTCTGGTGTACACAAGTACACTGTAACTACAGATAATTTGCACATTGCAAAGCCCCAAACATGTAACTGATCAATGTATATCCTGGGGATTGTTGGCCAGGACTGGGAAAGAGAAACTGTTTTTGAATAGCGCCGCGAGATCTTTAACATCTACCTGTACAGACAGACAGGACCTCGGTTTAACGTCTAATCTAAAGGATGGCACCTCCGACAATGCAGCACACGCCCAGCGCTGCCCTGGATCGTCAGCCTAGACTGTGAGCTCAAAGTACTTATGTAGGGCTCAAACCCACAACCTTGACTCAAGAGACAAGAGAACTACCAACTGAGCCAGGCTGACAGGCACCAGTGATATTGATGTCAAACCCAATTGACGATGAGATACGTTATTATGTCTCCCCACAAGTTTTGTGCTGATGATTGAATTTGAGAACAAATCATTTGCCAATCCCACTTTCATGACAACATTAGCCCTTTATACACCAGAACAGTATTTCCAAGACATAGAGGCAGAAGGAAATGGGAATAATAAATGCTCTGCTCTCTGTGCCTTTCAGGAAAGCAAAAGCAATAAAGAAATAGAAGTAAGAGATATCAAACAGTGAGTGCAACGAGCCTCTGAGCTTTGCTGCAATGCAGCTCTTCTGAAAACACTAACTTTATAGCAATTGCTGCACTTGGAATAGTGTGAGTGCAATTCGCCAGGATCCTGGGAGCGAGCTAGACACACGGTCATCAAAGCAAGCTCGCAGATGCTTGTCAATCGTACCCTGAAGCCTTGTAGCTCAGTGGTTAGAGCACTCACCTCGCAAGCGAGAGGACCTGGGTTCGATTTCCGGGTCAGGACAAAACGTTTAGTAAGTTTCCTTACTCCGCACACCTCTGTTTACCTGCAGTAAGTAGGAACCTGGTTGTTAGTCAATTGGGGGAATTGCTTTTCCGGGGGTAATAATCCCTCCAAAAATAATAAAAATAATAATTTGGTCACTCAATCCACAACTGTTTGTGGGGCGCTGCTGTGCGCAATTGGCTGCCGCGTTTCACCCACAAAATATACAGCCACTACACTGTGTATATTCTGTGCAGCGCTTTGAGACGTCTCGAAGACATGATAAGGAGCTATATCAAATGCAAGGATTATTAGTTTTAATAACATTTGTGACCAGAAGCCAGTGATTCAGGAGATAAAAGGTGACTGTGTGAGATGGGCCTGTAAGTCACACAGCTCTGTTCACAACACTCAACACTTGTCATGAATAATACATCCCAAACCATGGAAAAATCCTGCTGAGCCAGCAAACAGATGCTCCCTCATTACTGACACAGCTCCCAACGCTAGGTTTTATAGGGAAACCTATCTGTAGAGAGAAAGAGAGAGAGAGAAAGGAGGAGAGAAGACAGAGGAAACCTATGATCTGCGGGTAATAATAATAATCCTTGCATCAGATGGACCTTGGTTTTCTTTTGCCAGCAAAGTCTTATGTTTTTAATATAAACTACAAAGGATGCAGATGATCGCAGACACGCTCTATCCAAGTGGGACTCTCTGAGATGAACGAGACGCACAGATTTCAAACTAAATAATAATGCTTGCATTTGATGTAGCGCCTTATCGCGTCATTGAGATGTTTCAAAGCGCTTCACAAGATATATTGTAAAGTGAATTGACTGTATTTTGTGGGCAAAACGTCGCAGCCAATTGCACACAGCAGCGTCCCACAAGCAGTCGTGGATTATGTGACCAATTTTTTTAAAGGGATTATTACACAGAAAGTGATCCTCCAATCGACTAACAGACGGGTTCCTACTTACTGCTAGATAAAGGTAAACAGAGCCGTGCGGACTCAGGAAACTTGCCCAAGGTTTTGCCATGTCTGGGAGTCGAACAAAGGTCGTCTCGCTTCGCGAGGCAAGTGCTCTAACCACTAAGATATGGGAATCCACCCATAAAGGATGTGGAGCAAGACTGAGATCAGAAGAGATTTGATTTTAGAGCAGTGAGGATAAAGAAGGAGTGTAGATAGCGATAAACAGTCCTGCAACATTGGGACACAATGCTGTGTGTCTCTGGACCTGGGGCAGTCAGGAGGGAGGTCTGAACAGTTGAGATGCAAGTTATCGTCATCCCTAGTCAATACTTCAACCTCATCATTGAGGCCATCAGCCCACACTGGGTCCAAAATAAGTTTCCTTACTCCACACGCCTCTGTTTACCCAGCAGTAAGTAGGAACCGGTTTTAGTCGATCGGCGGATCACTTTTCCGGGGTTAATAAACCCTTCAAAATTCTTTTAAAAAATAAGAAGAATTTGTTCACTCAATCCATGACAATGCTGTGCGCAATTGGCTGCCAGATTTCACCCACAAATATACAGTCAATGAATCAGGAGGGTTTGAGACGGGACTTGAAGGAGAGAAGGAAGGGGGCGAAGCAGTGGGATTCAGGGATGGAGTTCCAGAGGGTGAGGGCAGAGAGGCTGAAGACCCGACCACCCATAGTGAGGTGGGTAGGGCAGGGGGCACGGAGCAGGCCAGTGCCTGCCGCGTGGAGAGAGCAGACAGGTTGGTATTATTATTCATGTCGCCCCCCCCCCTCCCCCCCCCCCCCCCCCCCCACACACACACACCTTCTTGTGGTCAGGCCTGAGAGCATCAGGAGGGTTTGAGACCCTGTGAGTGGGGACCTGATGCTATGGGTCACAGGCCAGGTCAGGCCAGGGGCTGCCCTGTGGGTATCTCAGACAGTGAGGTGCACTCACTGACACTGAGCTTTGCTGTTCACAGACACGATGACCTGAAGGAGATGCTGGACAGCAACAAGGACTCGCTGAAGCTGGAGGCCATGAAGAGGATTGTGGCGGTGAGTTTGGTGCAGACGAGAGGTCATGAGGTCACTAATGATCAGCTGTTACTACACTAAAACTGACCCAAATCAGATTCCAGGTACAAAGTGACCAAAAAGTCATGATAACTACCTTATTATC